TCAGCCTCAATCAGTCCCTGAAAAAATCATGGAGCAGATCCTCAAGGAATTAATTCTGAAGCACTTCGAGGAGAGGAAAGTGATCAGGAACAGTCAGCATGGATTCACCAAGGGCAAGTCATGCCTGACTAACCTAATTGCCTTCTATGACGAGATAACTGGCTCTGTGGATGAGGGAAAGCAGCGGACGTGTTAATCCTTGACTTTAGCAAAGCTTTTGATATGGTCTCCCACAGTATTCTTGCCAGCAAGTTAAAGAAGTATGGGCTAGATGAATGGACTATAAGGTGGATAGAAAGCTGGCTAGATCATCGGGCTCAGTGAGTAGTGATCAATGGTTCCGTGTCTCATTGGCAGCTGGTATCAAGCAGAATGCCCCAAGGGTCGGTCCTGGGGCCGGTTTTGTTCAATATCTTCATAAATGATCTGGAGGACGGTGTGGACTGCACACTCAGCAAGTTTGCAGATGACACTGAACTGGGAGGAGTGGTAGATACACTGGAGGGTAGGTATAGGATACAGAGGGCCCTAGACAAATTAGAGGACTGGGCCAAAAGAAATCTGATGAGGTTCAACAAGGACAAGTGCAGAGTCCTGCACTTAGGACGAAAGAATCCCATGCACTGCTACAGACTAGGGACCGAGTGGCAAGGCAGCAGTTCTGCAGAAAAGGACCTAGGGGTTACAGTGGATGAGAAGCTGGATATGAATCAACAATGTGCCCTTGTTACCAAGAAGGCTAACGGCATTATAAGCTGTTTAACTAGGAGCATTGCCAGCAGATCGAGGGACGTGAGCATTCCCCTCTATTTGACATTGGTGAGGCCTCATCTGGAGTACTGTGTCCAGTTTTGGGCCCCACACTACAAGAAGGATGTGGAAAAATTGGAAAGAGTCCAGCGGAGGGCAACAAAAATGATTAGGGGGTTGGAGCACATGATTTATGAGGAGAGGCTGAGGGGACTGGGATAGTTTAGTCTGTGGAAGAGAAGAATGAGGGGGGATTTGATAGCTGCTTTCAACTACCTGAAAGGGGGTTCCAAAGAGGATGGATCTAGACTGTTCTCAGTGGTACCAGATGACAGAACAAGAAGCAATGGTCTCAAGTTGTAGTGGGGGAGGTTTAGGTTGGATATTAGGAAAGACTTTTTCACTGGGAGGGTGGTGAAGCATTGGAATGGGTTACCTAGGGAGGTGGTAGAATCTCCTTCCTTTTAAAGTCAGGCTTGACAAAGCCCTGGCTGGGATGATTTAGTTGGGGATTGGTCCTGCTTTAAGCAGGGGGTTGGACTAGATGACCTCCTGAGGTCCCTTCCAACCCTGATATTCTATGATTGTGCTCACAAAGTTGTAGATGGTATTAGCTCCAGTAGTGAATATTAGAGAGCAAGTCCATAAAAGGTGGTATAATATGCTAATTTATTGTTACTGTGAATAACTAACAATGCCAAAGAGGTGAGACACCTTTGTTCATACTGCCTCTTACACATGAAACCCTCTCCTCATGTCTGCTAACACCCTCTCCTCATTTAAATCCCTACTGCAAATTCAATTCTTCTGCAATGCCTGCAACAAGGGAGCCATTAACACCACCTGAAATATTTTTTATAAAAGGAAAACAAAACAAAATGTATAGAACCACCAAGATGTGCATATATACAAACTGAAGATTCAAGTGACTGTATTGCTATAGCCTTCACCCTCCATCTCCCCATTGCCTCCCCGCTGTTTCTAACCACCACTCATTATATCACATCTAACATTTACACTGGCAGATCCTTGAGATGCGGACAGTCTTTTATTAAGAGCTATACTTTCTGGGTGCTATAAAATGTTGAGAGCCATCCATTTTATAGTTCAAACTAGGAAAAACACAGGATGTTACTGTGAGTTTGTAATGCTTTACATTTATTTAAACCTCTGAGAACTTAAAAAAAATCCACTGTCAACCACGTAAATTATGAGGGAGGGCGGGGTGAAATTATATGAAGTTCCATACAGATTACTTCTGCCTGTTAAAAAACTAATGGGCCTGATTCCCCTCTGCTTTTCCTCTTGTGGAGCCATTTATATCTGTGCAAAGTGAATGGACAGTAGGTATTAGAAACACTTCCATCAGCATGAGTGAAAAATTAAGATTTGGTAGCATTTTACATCAGTGAGCCATTAGAAAATCAGGTCTGTTTATTGTCCCCAAAGAATGTCTCTGTGAGTCCTAGCCAATGTTGGGTCAAGAGAAATAGAAATGACTTCTGTCATTATTTTGGAATTCTAAGAATCTACTGAGGGGTATCTGGATCTGGGAGAAATCAAACCCACAACTTCTGGAATGAATGACAACTTGTTCATGTCCCTCAGGTTAATCTCACACTTGCCTTTACACTAATACCACTGCACACACTTATGCCTTCTGAAAAGAGAGTCTCACGAGAGTACATAAAAAAGGAATTGAGTGTCAAATGTGAGTACAGGTAATAGAAACCAGTGTTTCTTGACAAATAAGCATTTGCATTGGTTTCAAAATGCAAGGGCACTTTTAGCTCCACACTGCCCAGAGAGAGGGCATCTGTGGGGGCAGGTCCTAAACTGAAGGAATGGAAATGAGAGTTAAATATCTAGGGAATAGTCTTAAATGAGCACTGTGGTATTTGTTCTGTCCCTCAGCTAGGAATTGCCTTAAGAGCATTAAAATAAAAAAGGACGGTTTCAGAGAATGAACATCAACACATTCTGAGTTAGCTAAGCACACAGCCCACATTCCTTCAGCAATGTTCCAAATTGCTTTAAAATATCTATTTCTGTAGTGTTTAGGTCAGAATTGGGGTCCCATTGTGCTAGGTCACTGCAAACACACAAGTAGACACCAAAAGAACTTATGATCTAATTTAAGACACGACGCAACAAGCAAGTGTGACAAACAATAGGAGGGAAGAGGCGAGGGAAAACGAGAGTAAAAGGAATAAGGTTACATAGGTTAGTTACTGGAAAACATTGGCATTCCAAATCATTATAAGAATTTATATATATTATACTATACACACACACACACACACACACACATATATATCTATTGTAGCAATGGACAACAGCCTCTACATGGTCATTGTTAGTAGGCAATTTCTTGTATGCTCAATGCAATGCAGTGCATCTTAGTTAGATATTTTGGACATTTATAACATTAAGAAAGCTAAAATAATAATAATAATATTTAGCTGCTGATGATGATGATGAAGAAAAAGGAGGAGGAGAAGAATAAGAGGAAAGTGACTTAATCACATATATACCACTTCAACAGTGCCTGCTGCTACTGTAGCAGTCCATATATATTCAGTTGCTGGCCTGCATGATCTCAACCTCTGCTTTTGCATATACTCACACAGCCTGTGAATTCCTGTCTCTCTGTATAAGATTACCTAGACGGATAGGATTCACAAGTAGTGCTGTGGCACAGGGATTAGAGTATCAGCTACTAGAGCAGGGATGGGCAAACATTTTGGCCTGAGGGCCACATCTGGGTATGGAAATTGTATGGCAGGCCATGAATGTTAATGAAATGGGAGCTTGGGGTGCGGGAGGGGGTGAGGGCTCGGACTGAGGGTGTGGGATCTGCGGAGGGGGAGCAGAAGTGAGGGGTTTGGGGTGCAGGAGGTGGCTGCAGGCAAAGCAGAGGGGGTCAGAGTATGGGAGGGGGCTCTGGGCTTAGGCAGGGGGTTGAGGTGTGGTGGGGGTATGGGCTCTGAACTGGAGGTGAGGGTTCCAGGGTGGGGCCAGAAATGAGGGGTTCAGGTTAGGTGCGGGAGGGGGCTCCGGGGTGAGGCTGAGAGTTGGGGTGCGGGGGCTCCAGGCTGGGACCGAGGGTTCGGAGGGCAGGAGGGAGAGGGTTAGAGGGTGCAGGCTTCGGGCAGTGCTTACCTCACGCAGCTCCCAGAAGCGGCAGCATGTCCCTCCCTCTGACTCCTATGTGGATGTGCAGCCAGGCGGCTCTGCAAGCTGCCCTGTTGGCACACGCTGCTCCTGCAGCTCCCATTGGCCATGGTTCCGGCCAATGGTAGCTGCAGAGCTGGCAGTTGGGGGGGCAGCATGCAGAGCCCCCTGGCTGCCCCTACACATAGGAGCCAGAGGGGGGACATGCCAGCTGCTTCCCAGGAGCTGTGCAGAGCCACGGCACACATGGAGTGGGACAAGCCTCCAATCCCACTCCCCAGCTGGAGTGCAGAAGCGGGGCAAGCCCCCAACCCCACTCCCTGGTGGGAGCTTGAGGGCCAAATGTGGCCCATGGGCCGTAGTTTACCCACCCCTGTACTAGAGTGACAAGAGGTCTTGTAGGCTCAATTCCTACCTGGGATACATTTTAAATATACAATTATTTTATAACCAGAGTCAACAAGGTCTGTGTCCGTGGGCAGCACATTCATGCATGTATCAGCTGTTATACTAATGGAAAGGCATCACAGCCAGCCACTGAGCAGTTGGGAATAGAGCTGGTCACAAATTTGCTGATAAAACATTTTTCCATTAAAAAATGCCGATTCATTGAAACTGAAACTTTTTGGGGGACAGTGGCAGTGACTTTCCGATTTCAAACTATTGAAAAAATGGTTTGAAATCTTCAGAACATCCTGTTTCAACATTTTTTAAACGGAAAGTACTGATTTTTTGTTTTGAAATTTAAGTTAATTTATAACAAGAAAAATGTTTTAAAAAGGTAAAAATCAAAACAAAGTGTTTCAAAATTATTGACGTGAAACGTTTCAATTGGCCTGAACTGAATGTAGTTTTGGATTGTTGGTTCACAAAAAATTTAGAGATTTTGTCATTTCATCCCAATTCAGGATGTGAAAATGTTTTAAAATCTCAAAATTTCCCCCAGGACTGGAATACAGTCTCCTGCCCAACTCTAGTTGGGAATACTGGGGGAGCACCAGGCAGTGATGCTGTCACAGTACTCTCATGGCAAGACACAGCCAAAAAATAAATATACAAACAATGTTTAGACTTACAATTTCACCTCTGGAGCCTTTTTCACCCCTGGATCCCTGAAAGAAATAGAGACTGTTAATCCAGTGCACTTTGTAATATTTTAGGACCTGAACCTGCAAAAACATATACACGTGAGTTACTTACTCACATCAGCAGTCCTTTTAATATTAATTGCTTCATGTGTACAAATGTTGCAGGACTGGGGCCATAGTTTGTACTATAGATACACAGATTATAGATTAGACAAGGAGTTACATGAACATGATCTGTGATCTATATATTTTGTTTTTTATCTTTTCAGTTTGTAATTCCATTTTTTGCTCTTTTTGAAAATGGTTAATATTATTTTTCTTTTAGTCAGTTTTGCCCTGTTTAGCTGTTTGTTTAGCTAAATCTTGCAGCATGTTTAAACCACCATCATTGGGGTTCAGTGGTTAAGCCATCATAATGCTGTGAATTAAACGATATACTTTCTGCAAGTGAGAAAATCCATTTAATTCCATGCGACGTTCTATGGGTATTTCCACATCTACTTTTACTGCTGTCATCAAAGATATATATGATCATTAATTCCCAACTACAGACAGATTAGCTATCTCTTCTTTGCCTATATTATGTTCTTGGCCAGTTTTGCATTCATACTGTGTCTCCAAAAATGTTAATCTAGCAATTAATCTGATGTGCATAGAATTTTGGATCTTGATGGTTGGATACACACCCATGTGTGAAAATGAGACACAGCTCAACCTTTTTATTTATTACGATGACAGATTGTCTGGCTTGTATGAGGCACATTAACAATCTTCATACAATTGTGGAGAAAAATTCTAGAGTAAGAGTTGTCATCCTTCCTTTTGCTGGGGAGAAAAAGGAATGCAAATATTGTACTTTGCTGGTGTGGCCTTTTTCTCAACAAGGGCCAAGAATGTTCTAATCCTATTTCCCTTCTCTTTCTTCACTCCAGTTACATACATGTTACACATACTAAATATTAACTACTGTATATAAACATTATTTTGCTGATCTTTATTCCAACTTCATAGAGATATCAGGTGAGATCCTCACTCCTGCCCCTCTGTGCCACGAGAGGGTGTAAAGAGGCCCTAAAAGCCTCATATCTGGCTAGGAGAGGATTCTCCAGCACAGGAACTGATGAGAGAGCCATAAGGCTGCCTCCTTAAGGTCCCCTTTGCTAGCCCTGGCATAAAGTGTGTGCTGGAGATGGCACTAGGGGCAGGAAGAATTGAATGTGGGTAGGGCCACAGCAGCACAGAGATTCTAGGCAGCACTTTGGGCCAGAGGACAACCCAAGCAGGCTGCCTTAATTTACACAGGCCCACAGGCTCCTGTATTATGATAGGTCCTCTCCAGGATTGGGAGAATACAAAGACGAATTGAAGCCACTACGGCACGTCCTCCCTGTGGGTTACAAAATCTGTGCTGAGCCAATGAGAGGAGCAGCATGGAATCTCACCCTATGTGTACTGCATTGTCAAAGAAGAGAACTGGTTCACTCCTATAACTCTTGCCATCTTTTAGTTTGCTCTACTTAGATTAGAGTCACATACAGTAGTGTGTGGATATGGTGTTATATGAAAATAGCCTTGGTAGCTGCTGCTTAAGTTGTAAAAATCTTCTATTAAGACATAATTAAACACATGGATGAAAGAACATCCTAATGAATAATGTGAAATGTAAAGGGAAACCTAAGGACTTAAACTTACAGGTTTGCCTGTTGGGCCTATTATGCCTTCTTGACCAATGGGGCCAGTGTATCCCTGTAAACAAACAAAGGATTTACAGGATTTCAACATGAATAAAATCCCAGGAAAAACACAAAACACATTGCTCAATCTTCAGATAACTGTATTTATATTTAAATAACACCATACTATGCCTCCATGCATAATTATAGGCCTAAAACTTTCAACAGCACAGTAATGAAACAACACAGGATTCCATATGTATTCAAAGTGCCATGTCAATGCTGGCTTTCTGAAGACTATCAACAGGCAATGAACCAGATAATTACTTTAATAATCAGTAAGTATTTGTGTTTGGAGAGCCTTTATATCGCTATGAAAGTCACAGCACTAAAACCATGGTAAATGAAGTCTTTTATTTACCCAAAAGCCAAATATTCCTTGTTTTGAGCTACCGTCAGCCACATCCTGAGGTATATTGCTACCCACAAATAATCATATAAGACAACTAGTGAACACTGCTAACAGAGGTATTTTCCTGTTTCATTCTGGTAAATGATAAAGCTCCTTTTGGGCAAATAGCTCAGAACCACTGTCTCTCCTGTATACTGATGATCAGGAAGAGAAAACAGCTATAAAAATAAGTCTCTCAAGCTGGTTATCTCAGACACCAGCTAATCAAACTCTCCCAGAAGTGATGTCAGGGCACATATCACAAGAGCTAAGACCCTGTCATTGGCAGTGATGAATAGAGCATTTTACAATGTGATGTGCAGAGCTGCAACCTGGCCATCACCCCAGATTGCACGATAGATGAATATTCCCTCCCTCAAATACCGCTGTTGATAAATCCCAGCAGTGCCTCCAGATTTTTGCATGAGTAACAGGAGAGAAAATTACAATGTGAAAAGCTGTCACAGGTTGGACACAAGCAGCTAATTCAGTTTAGTTACCCTTCAGTTAAAAGAAATAATTCCTAAATGTGACATCTGAATTAACTATTCCCGGGGCCAAATTTGCCCTTCAGAGCAGCTTTCTAGCAGCTGAGAGGTGGGCATTTGACTAAATGTTCTGGTTTGCTATGAAGAAAAAGGGAGTTATTTGGCTCATTCAATCTGATTACAGAGCTCTACGTGAAAAGGCTATAGAAAATGAAGATGCACCAACAGTATTGTGAAAACTATTTTGTAGAATTACATATAATACTTACGATTTGGCCTACAGGACCTTTAGGACCCAGAATTCCAACTAAACCAATGTCCCCATCAGGACCCTAAAAATAAAAATAAAAAGCTTAAACCGCCTGAACCTCTGACAGATTAAAATCTAGCCACTATCAGCCAAAACTACTGTACGTAAGCAATTGTTTTTCTCAGAAAAAACAGTATGGAAAGTGGAAGCATGATACTTGCTAAGAGCAATCAAAGTGAAAACATTAAACAAACTGGCTCCAGGCTTGTCTACACTTACAGTACTGCAGTGGCGGCAGCTTCACTGATGTAGCACTTAGTGAAGATGCTACCTATGCCAATGGGACAGCTTCTCCCATAAGCATAGGTACTCCACCTCCCTGAGAGGCGGTAGCTGTGGCAATGGAAGAAGTCCTCCCGCTGACATAGCGCTGCCTACACTGGGGGTTAGGTTGGTATAACTACGTCACTCGGGTGTGGTTATTCTGTAGTTGTAATGTAGTTATATTGACATAAGTTGGTAGTGTAGACCAGGGCTCAGAATATTTCTGTTCTGGGTTAAGCTAAAACTCATGGAAGCTGGGGGATGTAACTGCTGCCCTTTATTTAAGATAGCTGTAAGAAACAGTTAAGTTCCTATATGAAATAGTAGAGGCCTCCACCCCAAACACAGCTATCTGACACTATGTAGGAGAGGGGCTTAGGTGGGTATTGTAACAGAGGTGTGTGCATGAGAGAAAGAGAAGCAGGAGAAACACCATCGAAATAGACACAGAGGGTATGTCTACACTGCAATTAAAAGCCTGCAGCTGGCCTGTGCCAGCTAAATCAGGCTCATGGGGCTCAGGCTGAGGGGATGTTTAGTTGTGGTGTAGATGTGAGGCTCAGGCTACAGCCTGGGCTCTAGGGTCCCAGAGCTTATTCTGTAGCCTGAACATCTATACTGGAATCAAACAGCCTCTTAGCCTGAAACTCTTAGCCCGAGTCAGCTGGCACAGGCCAGTCACAGGTGTCTAATTGCAGTGTAAACATACCAGAGAAAGTACAGAAAGCCAGACACAGCCTGGACAAGCACCGAGAGCATGGCCCTAAGAAAAGCCAGAGAGAGCGAGAGCTTTTGGGCTGAGTGCTGGCTGAAAGGGGCTTGGAGCTGTGAGCAAGGAAACACTACCAGCAGGACAGTGGGGTGGGAGGAGGTATTGTTTCATGATCTCTGTGTGTATATAATGTCTGCTGCAGTTTCCACGGTATGCATCCGATGAAGTGAGCTGTAGCTCACGAAAGCTTATGCTCAAATAAATTGGTTAGTCTCTAAGGTGCCACGAGTACTCCTTTTCTTTTTGCGAATACAGACTAACACGGCTGTTACTCTGAAAACTCTCACAGTTCTGGATACATTTAAAACCAATTAAAATTGCCCCATCTTTCTTTGCAAATGGCTTAAACTCTAATAATAAAAAAAGACGCACACGTACTTTTGGACCTGGGAATCCTTGAAACCCCATCAAACCTTGATCTCCAAGTTCTCCCTGTAATATTAGCAGGCATGTTGGTTATTATTCCATGTTGCTGACTGAATTGTTAGAATATTGTTTTGCGTCATCCATGGTAGATACGTACAGTCTTCCCTTTCAATCCAGGATCTCCTGGTGGGCCTTGATCACCTTGTACCCCAGGAAGGCCTCTTTTACCTGGTTTTCCTGGATGACCCTGAAGCCCTTGCTCACCCTGTGGAGAGACAGATAATGCGTCTTACCTTATAATTGCAACAGAACAGCTAAAAGATTAACTCCTCAATGAACGTGTGTCAGAAAAGAATTATGTAGCTAAACAGCTTTTATATAGCAACAAGCTTTTTCACTATCTATTTCAAACAATTGTACAATATTTCACTACTTTTCTTTCAGGAATATTTTCCAGTAATTATTCCTTTCACTAAAAGACAAACATTTCTTGATTGTTGTTTGACTTGGGGACACAAAACATCACCCTGACAACTTTGCCGGTGAGTTGTATCCCTCTCCTCTCCCATTGTCTGTTCCTTGAATGTCAGCTCTTCGGGGCAGGAACAGGCTATGTCTACACTATGCACCTTTTAGCGACATAGCTGTACCACTACAGCTGTGCTGCTAAAAGGCACGCAGTGTAGCTGCTGTTTGTCGGCAGGAAAGAGTTCTCCTGTTAACAAAACAACTTCCACTCCCAATGAGTGGTAGTAGCTTTGTTGGCACTTGCTTCAGTTTACTTCTAGTTGGTTTCACATTAGTTGATGGATCAAAACATGTTACTGTGGTATCTGGAATTGCCTGGAAAAAGGAGCTATCTCAAATTGTTTACTCCTTTTGGGATGTTGGGCTCAAGAAGAAAGCATCTGGTCCTGTGAGATATTGAGCACCCTGGACTTCCATTGAAGCTCAGAGATGCCTGCCACCTTCCCAGATTAGGCCTTACGCTTGAAAGTATTGCAATCAAATGTTAATGGATTGCTTCACAGGACAAATCATGCAGGACATACTCCAGCAAAACTCCTATGTCAGTCAGGGGAAGTTTGCCTCAGTAAGACTAAAGGATTTGACTCTAAAACTTGTATTAGTAAGGGGCCAGATAGATGAATTTTGAATGGTTCAAAATTTGAATTTTGAATGAATTTGAATGTTGGAAGTAAAATGCTGGTGGATGGGAACTGGTGCTCCAAAGCCAGATTAATTTGCTCTGTTTTTATAAAAGTGAGAAAGAAAAGAAAAATTATACCAGCCCCATCTGCAGCCTTACATTTCAAATGTGCGTTTGATAATAGTGTTATTAAAAGGCATTTTGTTGTCCCATAATCTGTCAGATAGGAGATTAAGATGAAGATTAAGGAATGTCAATAATACTGGATCTGACAAGCATAACAAAATATCATGCACAGTACCTTTAGTCCTGGTTCTCCACTGATACCTGGCATGCCTGGCAATCCCTTTGCTCCCCGAGTTCCAGGATACCCTGCCAGCCCTGCTATTCCTGGGCTTCCTTTATTACCCTTAACAAGTCAAGAACAACAGATTACAATCAGAACAGCCATTGGCAGCATTTCCATTGTACACTAAAGCAGGCACACATTTTAATGTTCAGTCAATGCTGTTTATATATTTGTGTATATATTTATATCACATCTCTGTATATGCGCATACAGCTAGACAATAGTATACAGCTGTAAAACATATTGAGATTACTCAATAAATAAACTTGTTCTTAGTAACTAAAACAACATTTTGTGCTGGGATACCATTTCAGACTTGCAGGAGGGGCAACTTTAACTGTGATTCCAGGGGCTACTTAGACACCTGAAAACTCTTCGTCTTTTTGCAGATAATAATTCAGAAATTTGCTGACAGGAGCACTGTATCTAATTCCTATATAAAGAACAAAAATTAAATAAATATTAGACCCACTTAGCTCTAATACTAACATGTTCTGACATCTTATATCAAGTCACTTAAGGGACACTGGTTAGGTTTAAAATTTTAAGGTATATTCTTACTTTGTTACTAACTCTTGAATACTACAATTGAAACAATTGTAGAAAAATCTAATTACTTTCTATCACTTTTTTGCAGTTTATCAGGCTTGAAATGGATCATTTAACTTTTGGAAACATCCTACGAGGGCAAGACCCCGTGAGTTTATACTGCACCTGCCTTCGGCTCTCGGGGTGTTAACCCACTACAAATAATAGACTAAAAACAGACTTTAAACGGGAGTGAAACTGACACTTTCAAGTCACTTTCACAGTATTGCCAATATCAAGTGTTCAAAAATCATGAATCAGGCTACCCAAAATCAAGAGATTGGCTTTAAAATAATGAGATTATGTAAAAATAATAGATTTGGTGTTCTTTTTATTTGCCTTCTCCTTTTTGAGCCTTTAAGGTGCCCTGGGGTCATGCTTTAAAGCTTTCTCCACAGCCACAAGGGCTAGAAACTTCATTTTTTTGTAATAATGAAAGCTGAAATCATCACATATCCACTTGACTCCAAGAGCTGGGGCTTTAAGGAAAACAATAATTATCATGAGACTCAAGACAAAATCATGAGAGTTGGCAACACTGCGAAGGATAGTTACTTTCTAGAAGACTCTTAAACACAACGCTACCCTGACTGAGTTGCAATTTTCACAGGAAAGTATTTAAAACTAAACACCAAGAAAATTCCACATTTTAAAGATGAGGAAAAAAATGAGACTTCCAAGGTATACCAGGGCCACTGTAGGCAGGAAAGGAAAATAAACAGGCACAGGACCTCTAGGCAGCTCTTCCTCTTGAAAGAAAGTTGGAGGGTCAAATCTTCTAGTCCTTCATCAAGTAACATTTTTATTGCCATAAGTGCTTCCACTCACAGATATTAACATAAGCTCAATAACTATATACCTCATACTTAAATATCTGAGCCATCTTATCCAGGGCTACACATCTTATATACATTGGCTCAGGGATTACATTTTCTGGCATATTTTGAACAGTGCTGAGCACGCAGATGGTGCCCTGTGAATAATACAAATCATGACAATAATCGTTGACTTTATGGACTCTGTGGATGGAATTTCTGTTCTTTGTTCTGGAATTGGCCAGGATACAGCTCAATATATCTGCCTAAGAATTTGAGGCGTAAACACTTTGATACTCAAAGGAAACTTTCTCATTCCTTCCTTTTCTCGAACGCAAAACAAAAAAATGACAAAACAAAATGGTTTTCAGTTAAAATCTAAAATTGCGCAGCAGCCGTTGCCGTATAGCCCAGCCTGGGGCAGAACCTACCACCTATTGTGGATCAAATAATCTCCTCTCATTCTCTCTACATCCTTTCTGACCTCTGTGATGCTTTACATGTTGTCAGCCATGCTTCCTAATCACTTGTGACTGTTTTCTGGAGTCTCAGAGAACTGGCCTTCTTGGTTTTGTTCCCATCTATCAGAGTCCTCCTTTTTTTGCAGCATGCAGCAGAGAGATAGGCTGGTCCAATGGATAGGAAGCTAGCCCTAAGTAGAGTGACATATTTTCCCAAAGAGAAAATAGGACACCCCACGTGGCCAGCCAAAGGCCTCCCACCTCTAGACATGACTGGCCCAAGCCCTCCCTGCCTCCCTGGTCCAGCCCAAGGTACTCTTCCTTCCCCCTCATGCAGGGCCAGCCCAAGTGCCCCCTGCCGCCCACACGGGGCCAGCCTAGCTTGAGCCGCTCTCATGAGCCCTCCCTCCTACATGGGGCTGGCATTGCATGTTCCTCTGTGCCCCACTAGGGATTGCACCCCACTTTTTTGGCAAAATTGTGCATTTGTCCCATTTGATCTTGCCAACTGGTGATCAGTTGCAAAGGTTTTTAGGCACCCAAAGATGCAGCTAGGTATTTGAAAATCCCACTAGGTCCTTAAATACCTTTGAAAATCTGGCCATTAGTCTCTCTGTGCCTCAGTGCCCCATCTGTACAATGGGGATAACAGCACTGCTCTACCTCACAGAGGGGCTGTGAGGAGAAATAGGTTAGACATTGTGAGGCGCTCAGATACTATGGTGATGGGGCCACATAAGTACCACAGGTAGAGTGGGAACTTCTCTATACCACTGCTAGTCCTTCCCTGGGTTTTGGCCCCTTCTTTTGACCTATGCCCCTCAAATCTCCCTCTTTTCAGAATGTAAACTTGTCTTAGAGGGCTTGGCCGTAATTTTTCTGAGTCCCCTATGTTCTCTCTTTAACACTCCTCACCCGCACCAGGGATTCCTGTTTTACAGGTTCATCTAATCACTTCCAGATCCTTAATTTAATTGCCAGCCCTTTCTTATCGTAATCACCCTGCCTCTGTCTGTAAACAAAATATTGACTCCCTGCCCCAGGGGCACAAGCTGGGAGCAGCACCTCTCCTCTGCAGAACTCACACTGCACACTAATATTGTGCTGTAGTTAAGAGCTCCGTCTGGGAGCACACCACCCATACAAAACTCAGGGTGGGGGTAGGAGTCCCCTCCTCCCCCCACAAATGGTGCCCCTGATTTTGTGATTAGACCTCCCCTCTCTCAATGTTTACTCTGAGAATCATCTCCGCAGGCCTGGATAAAGGCACTGAGAACTGTGAAGTGAATCAACATGAAATCAGTGGGGCTCCCTGCTGGCACTGAAGTCCCCATGTGCGTGGTCAGTTGCCGGACTGCAGATTGAGTCTGGACATTGATGACCAGCAGAATGATCTTCCATATAACTGCATATTTCAAAACCGCTTTACTGACATCCCAGTGGCTGCTTTCACTTCTCCTATTCAAGGGTAGTGTGGATCATACAAATTTGTTTATATTAGTGATGGAATCATCTATCTGAAACTAACCCCACACCAATAAAATGGGATCTGGATCTGATCCATAGCTGTTTTTGCTTGATTACAGTTTAAAATGTGCAGGGTCAGGGCCCTGATCAGTGTTAGTAATAGCAAATGACTGCTTGGGCTCATCCTTGGATGACACATGTATGATCTTTCCACAGATATGTTGTTTTCTTTTTAATTAGGTCTGAGAATTCAAGAGATCACAAGCGTATAATAAGGAACTCCTCTTGATGAAAACAAGATGTCAGACTCATTGATTGCAGATGTACTGAAATGACTGTTCAGCCTTGAAACATTTGTGTGTGTAGGAGGCTCTCCACATAATAAAAAGACAGCGCCTTTTTCTCATAGTGTCTTTCAGAGCCATTCAAATTCAACACGCTTATTTATAAATGCCAAACGTACTAATACCATTAGCATTATTGTGTACAAAAAGGATGAATATAAAAATAAATTTATCACATCCAGAACATTTGCTACTAAAATATATTGTACATAAGAGTAACAATTTTTAATGAAAAACATGCTGTTGAGTGTATGGAGTTAAACCAAAAGAACATGCCTATGTCATGTTTAAAAAAATGAATGGAAAGATGCCCTCCTCATCCGTAATTAGCGTTCATTATGATGTCATTTAGAAGCAAACGCAGAATATCTTTTTCATATGTAGTTCCATTCATCATTTCTATTAATAGAGCAGGTTTCCAAGAGTGGCTCCCACAGCCTTTCCATATGTTACTCTGGTTCCCAGCCTGATGAACTGCTGTGCTTTCATAACAAATGTTCTGCTCTCTCTATTTTATGTGGCTAACTTGTGTTTAAAATATCTCTTAAGTAGAGACATGTCAATGTTATTGTTAACATGCATTATTCAGAAGTACTGGAAGAATGTTGAATTATTACTGAAAAGGCTAAAAAGAATAAGAAAAAGCTATCCATTATGGTGTTCCCTCTAAATTCAACTGCAAAGAATTACAGTCACTTGAAATAAACCCTGTAACTCCACAGTTAATATGATATGAAGACTTTAACAGCTAGTGTAATATGCATCTGCCCCCTCATCAACAAGTTATTTAATTTGTTTTTTTTGTTTTTTTTTCACCAAAATGCAAATACACCAGTATTTATAGCAGTTCTTCATTAACTATTAACTTGACTAAATAGTTACACCAACTTTAATCTAATTTATCTTCATAATAAATTATGGGTCAATCCAGCCAATACTTACTACCAGGCACAGTGCTTACTACTGTAAGTAGCCTAATTGATTTCAATGGGGCCTAATTTTCCATGGTGGAAAATTAGCAACAGGGTTTTCATCCTTCCTTTTGGAGAAGTGGTGACAGATAAAAGATGTTCAGCGGGGCGGAATGCTGCTTGCCATCTTCTCTATAGGAAAGTAGGATTGGCATTGCCAGTATCTCTCTCTCTCTCCCCGCTCCCCCTCTTCCGGAGTTCCCCAGCAACTCTGGGCTACCTAGGATGCCTTAATCTCTAGTGCAGTTATTAAGGAACTCCCAGTACTTTTCTAGCTGCTGTGGGAAAGAATACGGGATGACTATGCCATAACAACAGTGCTGTAACAATGCTGTAAAAAGAACTTTTCCTTAACCCTGCACCCTCTCTCTGTTTATATGTAAACCGTGTAGGGCAGAGGTAGGTTGCCTTCAGTTTCTTTGATTTGGGAGCTGGAAACCCCTGCCTTGAGGTAGTCAAAGATACTGGGTTGTAGGAGACTATTCACCCAGCAACTCCGATGACAAGAAAAACGTCCCAGGTTCTCAGTGTGAGCGGGCAGGTCATCAGTCCCCCCACTTGAAGTTAACATAGATAAGGTGGGGTGACCCCGGAACTGGCCAGTGAGGAATCACAGCATCAGCCCAGGTCTGTAACTCATTCATGACCTTGGGCTATGTTCAAGGTATCAGAATTGCAAACCCACCCAAATTTGGGGGGGGGGGGGGAGAGGAGGAGAGGAGTGTCTGTGCTTTTATGTGAATCTTTTGCTCAGCTCTTAGTTACTAGTTATGAAATATACAGAATATTACTTCCTCTGACATCACCTTTTCTGTAAATTAACCTTACATCCTAGATAGATTTCCAGAAGCAAAAATTAAAGAAAATACATAACTAATTTCTAATTACATAACTAATAAGATGCCAAAGGAATCTAGAACATGTACTTCTGTTTGGATGCTTTAGCATTTGGAAGTTTCTTGAGGAGAAGGCTATAAAGAAGGGTAATGTATATGTTACTCACAGGAAAGCCAGGCTTCCCAGGTAACCCAGGCTTTCCAGGATTCCCAGGAATGCCCTCTGGTCCAGGATATCCAGAAGCACCTTTCTGCCCTGGTGGGCCTAGTTTTCCCTTGAAACAAATTCAAATAGAATATGAATCTACTTAATCTATTCATATTCATGAGCAGTGTCTAAAGTCACAGAAAAAGATTTCAAAACAATATTTCCTAGGCCGTACTATAATAGTCTCAGTGACCTAGATCAACATTTTCAAAAGTGGCCTCTGAGTTTGGATGGACAACCTGAGATTCCTTGGTTCTTATTTTCAGAGGTGCTGAGGACCTGCAGATCCCAGTGACTTCAGCTGGAGTTGTGACTGTTTGCACATCAGGTCCAAGGTATCTCAGGTGGGACATCCAACAATCAAGGCTTCAGAAGTCAGAAGTCATTTCTGAAAGTATTTAGAGCTATTATATAATTGAGAAATTACATAATTCAAACATGTCTGTATCAAAAACACATGAGAACCTCTCATTAAACAGCACTTACCTTGCTAGCCCTTAGTTAAGCTTTCACTGAATGCTACCATGCCATCTTCATCAAAGCTCCAGTGAATTTCTTTCAACAAGATGATTTACCTTTAAACTGCAATATGCTAGTGGAAGAGGCTTAGAACTCATGTAATTATCTCCAAGTGAATGCATGCACCAGAAATACAAAATATCCTCTCCAACTAGATCACTATGCCTCATCCAAAAATGTGTTTTAAACAGTGATATAAATATGTAAAACATTTGTCATCTAAATCTTGGCTTCAATTTTTAGTAGTACAAGAAACTTGCACCTTGTAATGAGCCTGAGATATGCCTTGAAATTCCCCAGAAGCCTCCTCTCATCACTCCTCTCTTCCCTGCTTCTCCTTCCTTTTTCCTGCCATACCCCATGTTCTCTTTGTTCTGCACTACTGATACTACATATATATCTGTTCAGTACTCCAGAGGGCATAACTAAACTCCTAGGATTGCTACATAACTTCATTTATCCAATAAAATGCTGTCCATCCACTCTGCACAGAATGTGCAGGTTGTTGACAAGCATCTATTAGGTAGTTGTACTTCTCATTTACCAGAAATGATATTATGTAAAGCTAGTAAGTTGTTTACACCATGTGCTGGTGTGGTGTTATTTATTAGTGGACACAGAAATAGCCTTGTTGTAATGTATACTGGGTAATGTTTACGGAACATCCACTTGTTCTCTCTTCTACTTACTCCTTGTGGAGAGGGGGAAGGATTAGTTCCTTTAAAAAGGAGTAACTGCTTTTCAATGAAAGTGTATTTAATATCTGGTGTCTGATGGAGTGACAAAGGTGGGGAAAGGTCAGAAGCTCAGTCAGCCATATTTGTCATGGGCACACGGATGGAGAGTGCTGAAGGCAGTAGACGTTCGAAGGAGAATTTATGGGAGCCAATCAGTGAGTGTGGGTGGGTGGGTGGAACAAATGCAGCTAACTTCAGGGTGGTCCCTGTTAATGTGATAAGAACTGTATGCTCTGTGTAAACTCTACAGACAAAGAATGTAGTTATAACTTTGCAAATGGGAAGCAGCCTCAGGATATAATTCACTAATTGTACCTCATTCCAATGTGCTGATTAACTGAGAGAGTTCATTTTCAGTATCATTTAATACCATTTTGTGTTTCATCAAAGATTATTGGCCTGATTCTCATATACCTTAAGGACAATTACATTTAGACCCACTTTGAGTCCCATTTAGACTGGCAAAGCAGTATAAAGTGGTCTAAGGGTAAATGAAAATCAGGCCTCAAACTACGACAAGCAACGAATACTTTTGATTTTTATATGCATCGTCATTTGCATTTATCTGTTTTATAAAAGAACATAGATGGCAGAATCTTGTTACTTACAGGAATTCCAGGTTTCCCAGCTTGACCAGTCATTCCTCTTTTTCCAGTGGGACCCTAGATATTTCAAACATTTGTGAATTGGTCAAATCAAAGACATAAAAGAAGACTCTAATGAAAATCTTTTCATCACCTGGCTTTGGATCAGGCCCTAAAAGCATGACGTTTTCAACAATCAAAACAAAGACTTCATAGTGTGGTTGCACACAATTTCCCCCCTCTTCTTTAATATACTGTACAATTTCAGGTCATTTCAACAGTACCAGAGCTAATCAGGATATTCCAGATATTTAGGTAACTCTGCGCCATCAGACAATATCACTGTAATAAAGTACATTTTTCAATAGCACTTTCATCTCTTTTTGAAAAGCAAAGCATACAAAATAAGAATATGTATATGCTGACGCCTGTATTGGAAAACAGGATTCTTGCCATAGTGAATATTCCCTTTTATCTGAACTCTAAACACAATACGAATGATGAAATAAACAGTTAATTAAAAAAAAACCCACTTTTTGGATTGCACAACCAATGTGGAGACATCTGTGGATTTAGCTAACTTACTGATATGGAGAGGGTAACATTTTCAAAAGCATCTAAGTACCATTGACTTTCAATGAGTCTGAAGCACTTTTGAGAAGATCCCAAAGCACACAGAAAACTTTAAAAAGCCATTATAATCACAGTATATACAGGGATCATTCATCCACCTTAGAAATACAGCCACTTCTAAGTAGACGGCAGCAGCACACAGCAACACTACGGCATAGATTGAGTAGAAAAGACCTTTTAAAGTTTTCTGGTCTAAATTATTTTTAACACAATTTCTAGAAATAAAGGCTAGTGAATAACCATACTATGTTAAAACTATATTCAACCTAATAAAGTTTAAACAAACTAAAGATAAAGATAAATACAAAACCCACCATCCAACTAATATAAATACCAGAAAGTTAACAAAATACTGTTCCATTGTTTAATTTAATAACTTTTCTTAATAAAACTATGGCACAAAAACTCCAGCAATTAAAACAGCAATCTATACATTTAAAGCACCCTGTTTCACTTTCATTCACATTTCAGAGTTTATAAAAAATAAAAAGTTAATTTATGTTCTGTGTGACTAGCCTTGTAAAACTTATTTACAGCAGCACTATTCACAGCACAGGTGCTAAGGTTGTGTCAATGTTTCTATTATTAACCTGCTTTTCTATAAGACTTTAGGCTTTAAAGACTTTATAAGACGTTAAGCTGTAAAGTTTTGTTCCAGGCTGAATATTGGCTCCAAACTGGCATATGGAGATTTCTTGCTGGGGAATATTTTCTGATTAATATAATGGAAGTTTTCCCCAGGGAGAGGGTTGAGGGATGACTGTTTTTATCCTACAGTGTGCATATGTTCTCAAAGTCAATATATCGGAATGCATAGGAGAGGTTTCATGTTGGTACTGGTATATGAGGATTTAGTGTGTTCATTTTGCATTAATGCCCATTTCCAATCTGATCCAGATGATCATCTATACACCGAAAATGGTTTATTTGCAGCAGGATTGTAGGGTGACAGTGGGAGTTTTGGGACAAATCACTAATATCCATCCCATTTAAATTGCAATGGGAATACAGATTACAAATCATCTTTATTCTAATCCTTCTAAAAATATTAGAAACCAATAAAAGTCACCCAATGGCAAAGTGTGAAATACTTTAAGCAATGTACAGTACACCATGAGGACAAAATATTACTGGCGAAGGAAAATATTTATATTTGATCTTTTCAAGACTTGCTCTGTCATTAGTGTGCTGTTGTTTTGTAGCATATTCCATACTTCCAGGCCTCAGTCTAAAGCCCAGCCATTCTGAATGTACATACTATACAGTCTGATTGGGCTTTCTTTACAGATTATTTCATCAGATGGATCAGCGTTATGTAATTCTGCGTGTTTGTACAGGGCTAGTTTGTCAAATGGACTTCCATTTAAGGACATAAAAAGGACATTCAAATATTTTGAGAAGAAGTAAATTTTTAAAGGCTTTTCACCACTTCAGGGTAAAAATACTTATCAAGTAGTACTTATTTGTTATCTTAGGTTATTGTGAATTTTTGGTAATTTTCCATTTCATACTATTTTTCTCCTTAAGGGATGAAACAGAAACAGGATCATTTTAGTCTCAACACCAATATAATTGTATGATGCCTCAAAAATTTCCATCATGGCACTGTCAGTCATTTTCAGGAAAATTATCACATCTTTTTTCTATAAGCCTAATATCTGGAAAAAGCAATCCCAATATTTCAGAATTGTATTTGACTCTGATATCTGATTCTTAATAAAGTTCATACAGCACAAAGGTATCACATAGGAGCCAGACTGGGGCGGGCCCTTGTGTGGGCACAGGAAAGAGGAAACACTAAAGGAACTTAACCATTGTGACCTGTGTACAGGTGGTCAGCCTCCATTGTAGACCTTTGAGAGCAATGACTGCTCCTAGCTAATACTATTTGGGAGAGGGTGGGGGTGTGAAGGGTTCATGTAGAGTTCATGCACCTGAAAACATTCAGGGCACATCCTGACTGTTGTGTAGGAGCGGTGCACACACTGCTCCGTCCAAGGACATGGAACATGGGAAGTCACTCAGAGGACATGAACTGTGGGAAGCTTCCTTGGACTGGGCTCAAGGCCTGAGAACAAGGATTGTAGTAGATAGAGGCTGGTAAATAAGAATATTAATCAAAGTCATAATTTTTCCTTTGTTGATGCCTTTTGTGGTCGGGGTATGTAATGCGCAGGGGGGAGAGAAACAAAAGAGAGGTGGAAAAGCTGACAGCGGCAATCCCGTCAGCAAACCAGCCTGCTTGCTTGCCTAAAGCCGTGTCCAGTCTTGTATTGAACTGCAACAACTGGCGCCCAAACGTGGGGCCCTCAGCACTCACCTCGCCCGGCAAGGGTTTCAGACGCGTCACTCATCCGCTTCGCAGATCCCGGTGAGTATTTTTCATTGTGGTAAGTATGGGAAGCTCCCTCTCTGCTTTGCAAGTGCAATACTGCAGTGAGCTACAGTATTTGCTGCGTAAGGCTCAGCATGATTGCCCCACTCGAGAACTCACTCTCCTGCTACAGGAGGTGAATGCCCAATGCCCGTGGTACCCTGAAGCTGGAACCCTTAAGCTAGCGGACTGGGAGCGGTTGGGCCAGACATTGCACAAAGAGCCTCGGGCGCCCGTGCCTGCTTTAGATGCCTGGCACCTCTGCCACGACGCGATACAGCGTGTCGCCTCGGAAAGACCCTCTCCCACGCCAACAGAGGGGCTGCCGATCTCGCCCCCCCTGTCCGCTCCTGCAACCATCCCTCCCCCTGCTTCGCCCCCAGCACCTCAATTACCACCACCTCCCCTGTCTTCCCCACCGGAGCCGGTGTGTGATGGCTCTCCCCTCGTGGGGCCCCATGCTCCGGGACCCCCCGGAGGGTCGTCCGCGTCTGCTCAGGGGCTTTCGCTGGTGCAACAAATGGTTCACGCAGCGAAGACTCGCTCCGATATTACAGCAGAGGAGCTGGCTGATTTGGTCTCAGTTTGTCCGGTGACCTGGCAGGATGATGGCCAGGGCAACCAGGTTGCAAACTGGGTCAGTTTGCCTTACTCGGTGATCAGAGAGATAAAGAAAGCGATTCGCGAGTTCGGCCTGACTAGCACGTATGTACGTGGTCTCATTGAAGGGCTAGGTACTGGGTACTCCCTGGTCCCTGAAGACTGGAAAGCGCTGTTGCGCATGATGCTGACACCCAGTCAGTATGTTATTTGGCTTAGTGAGAATTGGCAGATGGCGGAACGCCAAGCCCAGGTATATAGAGAGCAAGGTATCATTTATGAGCACTTGGCAGGGGAGGGCCAGTTTGCTACCGTTCAGATGCAGTCTCAACTCCCTCAGGCCATCTTCCCCATTATTTCCACCTGCGCCCAGCATGCTTTCCGGAAGGTCCCGGATTCAGGCAAGCCTACCAAAAGCTTTGCCAGTATCCGTCAGGGTGCATCAGAGTCCTTTATGGATTTTACCAACAGATTGCAGGAGGCTATCCTCCGACAGGTGGATAGCCCTGCAGCAGCTCAGGAGATCCTGTTAAAGATGGCGGTTGAAAATGCAAACGAGGATTGCCACCGTGCTCTCCAGGCGGCACAAGCCTCTGGAATTCTAGAGCTGTCAGACATGCTACAGGCGTGCCAAAACATCGGAACCCAAGCACATAAAGCTGGAGTTCTGGCTGCCGCCCTGCGGAAAAGCAGGAAGGAGGGGAAGCGTTGTTACCGCTGTGGTAATGAGGGTCACTTTCAGCGGGAGTGCCACTCCTAGGCGGCGCCTGCTCACCCCTCAAAGAAATGCCCCAAGTGTTGGAAGGGCTATCACTGGGCTAATCAGTGTCATAGCGGATCGGGAAACCGCACGACGGGTTACCCCCGAACCCAGGGCCAAACGGGGATGTTTCCCACTCAGACAACTGTTCCTCTGCTTTAAAATCCGTAGACTCCATGAGGGCGGCGACTGCCTGAAGTGCAGGGCTTGATTTGATTATGCAGGAGGACGCTGATTTTCGGTTGCCAGGGGAGGTTTGCGCCATACCTACCCAGGTGACGGGACCTCTCCCTGACGGATTTGTGGGTCTGGTTCTCCCTTGCTCACATGCTGGGAAACAGGTTTTTTTTGTCATCCCGGGGATCATTGACGCCGATTACACTGGCGTTATTAAGGTTCAGGTGTGGACCCATCTTCCGCAGTCGCTCCCGCGTGGACGGTCAATTGCACAATTGATTTTAGTCCCCTATCAGGTGCCAGCCGCGGAGGATTGAGCCTGGGGTGGAGGCAGCTTTGGATCAACGCTGCCTCAGTTGCTGTCTCACAACACGTCCTTTCCACTTGTTGCTCTAACAATGTCAGTCCGCCCCTCGAAACCTCAGTTAACACTTCTCTTAAATAATGTTCCTTTTACAGGATTGGTGGACACTGGAGCTGACGTTACGGTGATTCGTGATCCGGAGTGGCCGGTCAGTTGGCCAACAGTTCCTTCTAAAGAGTTGTGGGGGATCGGGGGTAGCAAACCCGGGCGCCAAAGTTTGTCTTGGGTCACGGTCTCTAAACCAGGAGGCCGTGCCCTTGCTACGATCCGTCCTTTTGTGCTCCCTGTCCACCTCAATATTTGGGGCCGTGACTTACTTACAAAGCTGGACACCACCCTCAATATTAATATATAATGGCCCGAAATCCTCCCTCACCCACCTTGCCATCCGCATTACCATTGGTATGGCAATCCTTAGAGCCCGTATGGATTGACCAGTGGCCCCTCCCCCTAGAAAAGCTGAAAGCGCTTCATTCACTTGTACAACAATATTTGCATGCACAGCGCTTGGAGAGCTTTACTAGTCCTTGGAACTAGCTGCTGTTATTTTGGCCTTTCAACTTTTCGCTGATTGTCCCTTTAATTTGATTGTGGACACACATTATGTTTATCAGGTAACTGATCATTTACCCCTTGCCCTCATTACAACAATGTCACCTGTGCACGTGTGGTCAACTGCACTAGTACAAAGGTGCCCTTAGGCTGTCGGCAAATTTATCAACCCCTTTTAAATTGTTCCCACGCCGTGAATGTTTCATACAATTATGGCCATATCATCCTACCATCCGGGTGGTTTTTTACCTGCGGCTCTCGCACCTTTAGTTATATTCCCACGAATTTAAGCGATGGCACCCTTTGCTGCCTCAGCAGAATGACACTCATTTTGCCTTTTGGCGGTCAAAAGCGCAGTAAAAGGGCTACACCCCTTTCAGAAGATTGTGTCGCAGATATCAATTTTCTCAGCCGCTCTGAGTATACCACCTTAGCGGTCTCTATTGTTGGGGTCCCCGGGCTTGCCACTTATACAGCAAGAACTTTAAATGCACTGGCGTGTTTTGCGGCAAAGGCAATTAATACAACATCCCAGGCAATTGCCCTACTTAATACAGAGCAACACGAATTAAGGGATGCAATTTTGGATAACAGAGCAGCCATTGATTTTCTGCTCTTGAAACATCATTTAGGCTGTTCCACGTTTCGGCATATGTGTTGTTTTAATTTAACTGATAATAGTCGTTCCATAGAAACTAGACTGGCCGAACTGGCCAATCTTACGGCACACATACGCCAAGATCTGGGGTTTGAGGGCTTTTGGAATTGGCTTACAGGTTGGCTGCCCTCTTTAGGGTGGCTGCGACAACTTTTTGGTTATACTGTATTTGTGATTGCTGGGCTTATTTTTTGCTGCTGCTGTGTACAGTGTATTCCCTCTTTGTTAAGACTTTGTAGAGACCCGCCCTGGCAGGCTCCCCGAGTTATGTCCTTGTCTGTCCGGGAGTTAAATCGCTTGTAAAAGCAAATTGATGGCTACCATGAGATGGCCGAGCACAAATAAACAAAAAAGGGGGGGGATGAAGGGTTCATGTAGAGTTCATGCACCTGAAAACATTCAGGGCACACCCTGACTGTTGTGTAGGAGCGGTGCACACACTGCTCCGTCTAAGGACATGGACCATGGGAAGTCACTCAGAGGACATGAACTGTGGGAAGCTTCCTTGGACTGGGCTCAAGGCCTGAGAACAAGGATTGTAGTAGATAGAGGCTGGTAAATAAGAATATTAATCAAAGTCATAATTTTTCCTTTGTTGATGCCTTTTGTGGTCGGGGTATGTAATGCGCAGGGGGGAGAGAAACAAAAGAGAGGTGGAAAAGCTGACAGCGACAATCCCGTCAGCAAACCAGCCTGCTTGCTTGCCTAAAGCCGTGTCCTGTCTTGTATTGAACCGCAACAGGGGTGACATTTTCTCTACCCTCTAACCCTAACCCCAGCCTACTCCAACTCAGCCAGTGAAATGCATGGTAAGGGATGTAGAAGTGGGCATACTCCTCCGGCACATCCTGGGAGCTTCAGAACACATTGTGCTCTGGAGTGGTGAAACTCTTCACTGTCTCCAACTCAGAGTGGTGCCTTAAAGGAAGTGTTGTAACTTAGATGAATACAAATTAACAGTTCCTAAAATATTTTGAAATATAAATATGTTGTAATAAAATATGGCAAAAAGAGACGTACATCAAGTAATTAGGGCTAAAAATCAACCAACTCCAAAATCAGTTGGCATCTTGAATCTGGCCTAATTTGAAATCTTCTATAGAGAAAAGTCTAGTGAGCACAGGGAATTCTTCGGAGAAATACAAATGAAGTGTACCTAATTTGACTGCGACTCTGTTCAAGTCACACAAGTGGACAACTATCCTATCCATCTCTGTATGGTTTTAGGTAGCAATCAGGTCCATTGGGTTTGTGTTTGTAAGGACTTAACAAGGTGTAGAGTGTCAATAAGTGGCAGGAAGTCATAAGACTTTATGTTAAAATAGAACATGAAGACAAATACCACAGTCATCTTTCAGCGCAACAGCTATAAATCATATTTTGTTCTTGAAAGGAGCCTTATGATTTAAAAACTTCACTTTGTCTTCTATGGACAATAATGGTTGTTACAATTGCAAACACAAAAGAATTACAATAAAGTGGAGTTTTCTTTTTTTTTTTTCCACCTACTTCTGATCCTCTCTCTCCCTTTGGTCCTTGTTCTCCCAATTCACCTTGTTCACCCTTTAGAAAGAACAGAAAAAACATAAGCAAACAACAATTGGCCATTAAGGTAGGAGAGAAATAAATTATTTTCAATAACAAATACAGAAGCACAATACATACAGCTAACTGCCTGGAACACTTACTGGAGGCCCTTGTTGTCCAGTTGCTCCTCTTAGACCTGGAAGCCCTGTGTGACCCTAGAAACAGAAAACATAAATATCACTGCAGAGATAACTCTGATGAGCTGATCATTTTCTTCTGAAGCCCACTCCTGGGAGGGGCTGCGGATATATCTACATTGCAAAATAACCCGCGGTAGCAAGTCTCAGAGCCTGGGTCAACTGATTTGGGCTCACACGATGGGGCTAAAAATAGCACTGTAAATGGTCCTGCTCAGGCTGGAGCCAGGCTCTGAAACCTGACAAAGGGAGCGGGGACCCACTGCCCAAGTCAGTTAACCCAACTTCTGACACTCGCTGCCATGCGTGATTTCTTGCACTGTAGATGTACCCTGAAAATCCTCAATTCCACTGAGGTAAATGGAATTCAGGCTGTTCAGCACCTCATGGAATCAAGCCCTTCGTGACCCTTTCTTCATGACAATCCTACTCCACACTCACCATGGGAGGGAATTATACATTGTTTAAACTTTTCTGCTTTCTTGAGAGATTGGCTCATACTTGGTTTATTGCTTTATTATAGGTCTGATCTGTTTTTTGTGTGTAAGATCTTTCTGTCAGGGACTGCATCTTTTTGTTTTGCTGACTCCACAACAGTAGCAATTGTAATTGAGTGTTTGTTATAGTGAGGTTACAGCATATTTGTAGGAAAACTGCATAAAACATACACATAATTATTAGAATGAGAGTTACAAAATAATAGTGTTTGCAATTCCAGACAAATTTATTAGTTTATTCAATACAGTATAAATTTACACTAAGAACTAATCAATACAGGTGAAGCATCAGCACATTCATGCGCGCGCGCGAGAAAACAGCAATTTTGTTTTACTGCTTTACAAAGCAAGTGGTATTTACCTTGAATCCCTCATCACCAGGTTCCCCTCTATCTCCACGTTCACCACTAGGACCCTAGAGAGATAACCAAAGAGCAGAGTTTAATGGCTGATTAAAATACTGCTGCAGTAACAATACATCTGGGCCTTTCCTTCAGAACAAACCACCCAGCTGTGAGGTTACCAAAATCTACATACTGTCAAATTAGAAAATCAGCTAAGTTCACAGAATAAAAATGAACTATTTCTAAAACAAATATGTATTACATTAAGACGTGCAACACCTCACCGTCAAAAATATATTGTAAATGAAGACCCCAGTCCAAGTTTCTAACCTCCCACAGCTGCAAATCTGGAATAATTCTATTGACATCCAAGGAATCTCTCCATATTTACACCCATGTAAGTAAGATCAGAATGTGACCCTAACTTTTTTTTTTAATTTGAAGGGATTATTTGATTCAAATTGCAGAAGATTATAGGAAGGTGCCATTACCATGATTAATATGTAAAGAAAACAAATGACAGGGACCACTAGGTACAGATGGATCCTTTTTTATAATGAACCTGCCTATAGTGAAACTGTTTATGAGAGGAAATCCTCAATCCCTTAGCGAAGCCTGCATGAAGAGGTTTTGTGTATGAGAACTGTACAGAAGATAGGGGAGGCAGGGAAGCCTCTCATTTAATCCAGAGGCAGGGCCCTGTGAATGATGGTGCTGCTACGATTGCATCCCATCACCTGCAGTAGAAGCCGCAGCTTGCTGACTTCAAGGAAAAGTCTCAACTCCCAGATCTGCAAGGTGCTGGGTCCCCCCTGGGAAGCGTTAAGTGCTTTAATGCTCATTGCAGTCAATGAACCAAATTCTGCATCCACTGAAGTTGATGAGTTCAGGATCTTACCCAGTGGAGGTAAGGGGGCTCAGTACCTTCCTGAAGGCACTCAGCATCTAGGTGGATGGAGATTTTAATAGGGAACAGCTTCCCACCCTCCCCCAGTATCTGAAATAAAAGCAGTAAGAAAGAAAATATTGCTTTACTTCAAGGTTACCAGGGGATCATCAGGCACAGTGGATCTTCAAAGTTTATGAACTGATCCAGTGGCCATCTGTATTACATGCTCATCACCATGGTATCTGATGCCAGGTCCCTACTTCTCTCCTGTGCTCTAACATTTCTGCAGAGACCGCTGCTGTAGAGCTCAGCTCCATGGCATGCATGGGATTGTGGAATCCCCCTCCGTTGCCTCTCCTCTCTTCTGCGTTTCCATTGGGCTTTGGGCCTCCTGAAGCAGCTTCCCAGCGGAAACACACATGTTTCCTCTGCATACAACTTTTGCTTCAGTTAGCACGGCAGAATCAACACAGCTATGGGCGAGTGAACTAGGTTCTTTTCTCTCTCAGGCATCTTCATGAAAATTGTTCGCTAAGTTCCCTCTGGGGGTCCAAATTCTGTTTTCATTTACATCTTCTCATTCCATTGCCTTCAAATTCTGCTTTTTTGGGGTAGCAAAGGTCTAAATAATAAGGGGAGAATCTGAAGCCAAGGGGGCTGCATAAGTATAACTGAGGACAGAAGCTGGCCTGAATTAAAAAAATACTTAAGGTTATGGGAGAGTTTTATTTGGCATGCTCCTCGTTGATGTAGATAGTTGTAGGTAGTACTCATACCCTTTTAATAAACAAATCATAGAATCATAGAATAACAGAGTTGGAAGGGACGTCTGGAGGCCATCTAGTCCAACCCCCTGCCCAGAGCAGGACCAATCCCAACTAAATCATCCCAGCCAGGGCTTTGTCAAGCCTGACCTTAAAAACTTCTAAGGAAGGGGATTCCACCACCTCCCTAGGTAATGCATTCCAGTGTTTCACCACCCTCCTAGTGAAAAAGTTTTTCCTAATATCCAACCTAAACCTCCCCCACTGCAACTTGAGACCATTACTCCTTGTCCTGTCATCTGCTATCACTGAGAATAGTCTAGATCCATCCTCTTTGGATCCACCTTTCAGGTAGTTAAAAGCAGTTATCAAATCCCTCCTCATTCTTCTCTTCCATAGACTAAACAATCCCAGTTCCCTCAGCCTCTCCTCATAAGTCATGTGTTCCAGTCCCCTAATCATTTTTGTTGCCCTCCGCTGGATGTTTTCCAATTTTTCCACATCCTTCTTGTAGTGTGGGGCCCAAAACTGGACACAGTACTCCACATGAGGCCTCACCAATGTTGAATAGAGGGGAAGGATCACATCCCTCGATCTGCTGGCTATGCCCCTACTTATACACCCCAAAATGCCATTGGCTTTCTTGGCAACAAGGGCACACTGTCAACTCATATCCAGCTTCCCGTCCACTGTCACCCCTAGGTCCTTCTCTGCAGAACTGCTGCCTAGCCATTCGGTCCTTAGTCTGTAGCGGTGCATTGGACTCTTCCGTCCTAAGTGCAGGACTCTGCACTTGTCCTTGTTGAGCCAAATCATCATAGCAGCTCACCCTCGCACAGTTGCATTGCTAACAGGAATGAAAAGACACTTATACTGGGTAACTAAAACAACAGATAACTATTTGGAATAAATACGGGGATCAAATTCTGTTCTCAGACATGTTGATCTAAATGAAAAGTCATCTCATTAGGATAATTTAACAGAGGGTGCAGATCTGCTGAGTAAGAAGGTGCCATTTTTGGACAGCCACTTTGTACAGTAAAACAATGTGTTCAGTTTTGTTTCTAATGACACTGGTTCTGCACCTTTTTATGACAAAGTGACCCTAGACTTCTGAAGCAACTGTATAACTTGTGGAAACTCCATTTACTGCCTCTCGTCTTGAATCACTAAAATAATTTTTTTGAGAAAGAAAGACCTACTGGTTCACCTATGGGCCCAGGTGGTCCCAGTACTGTGTTGTCTTCGCCTGGGTAACCCTAAAAGGAAAATAATTATTAAAAATATTTATTCCTGGTAATGAAAATCTATTTATTCAAGAATTTCTTTAATATTAAACTGAAATAAACATTTCATACAGTGTACATACACGCAAATATGGATTATATACACATTTATACCAATTGGTGGTAGTGACTACTATACTTAAGGCTGCAGAAAACCCACCGCTTTTACATGCATCTCACTTTCAAAAATATTTGCATTTTGGGCTGAAAAATTACATACTTGCTTTCTTAACAAAAAGAAATCTGAACAAAATCCCATTTTAGTTAATGGACAGTGAAAAAAGGACACTCCTGCCAGTGTTAAAAAAAGGCTAACTACTCCTAATCCAATAGGTGTAGAGGAAACACTGTTAATCATACTGAGTATCATAATAATTGTATAGGTTAATTTTATGATGTTTTAAATGTCACACTACTACCCACACCAACAGATAAAACATTCTCTGCTCCAGTAACATATTGCCCTTAAAGACCAAGGGCCAGATTTTCTTAGGTGTTTAGGCATCCACAGATCCAGAGAGGTGCCTTGTAGGATTTTCAATACAGCCTAAGCAGGTTAGGAACCTAACTCCCATTGGCAACTAATAATCATGAAGTCAATCTACTTAGATGCCTTTGAAAATTCCACCAGGCACCTATCAGCATCTTTAGGAGCCTAAACACCTTTGAAAATCTGGTCCTAATAGGTTACTCTGCAAGGCCTTGATCCTACAAGCTCATCTGCATGGGTGGATCTGTGTACCTGTCTGACACCCCATTGCCTTCAGTGAACATAAGGGTCTGCCTGCAGGATCAAGGCCTAAAAGAATCAGAGTGAATCTATAACATTGGGTCCTGATCTTGGAATCACTTTCTACCATGCATAGGCCCTGATCCACCAAAGCACTTAAGCATGTATTTGACTTTAAAGTCAAGTCAATGGAAATTCTCACATGCTTAAAGTTAAGCACAATGTTTAAGTACTTTGCTGGATCCACGTTGCTTACTACTGTAATCACACCCAGGGAAGGCAATGGTGCTGTCTGGTAGTGCAGAAAATGATTGAAGAACTAGGACCTTCTGTTTTAGAAACTGAAACATTTCATTATTCTAATTCTTAACTTTATCTTCCTATAATTTGTTTCCGCAGGTTTACATTTTTGCTCACACTGCATCACAACAGCCGAGGTCTCATCCTTTTTCCTTTTGATGGCTTTGGATAAACAAAAGCTGTGAAAACTGTCTTTTGAGAAATGCTTTGATAAGCTATGAATGTATCACAACATTTCCACCCTTTACAATCACTGGGACTGTAAACAACAAGAACTAGTTTCCGTACCTTCTCTCCTTTGGGTCCTGGAGGACCAGGTGATCCTGGCTGACCTTGATGACCCTAAAAAAATCCCAAACAACTAAATACAAAATGTTATATATTGCTCAGATTAGCACTTTCTGCTGTATGGTAAATTGAATAGTGACATTTCAGACAAATTATGGGCCCAGTCTGGAAATTTGTTGCAGGTGGGTAGACCTCTGTGTGTGCAATCACAGAGGCCCATGGACTTCAGTGGGGCTCTGTTGAAACAAAGGGGGCCAAGTGTGGTTCCTAGTGCAGGATCAGGGCCTTAGTTTGCAATTAATATTTGAAGACAAAGATTTAATTATTATTCCAGTAGGTGACAGCAGGAATCCATCTACACTTTGCATCTATTACATCAGTTTGGAAGAAAATGATTATTTTTTGACATAGGCCACAAAAAATTAATGTCCTTCTTCTAATCTTGTTAAGTCTAAAAACTACAGGTTCTCTTATTGAAAGGGGAAATGCCTGTCCAATCAGCAGGCAATGGGTAAGTTTGTAGGAGCTCTCTTCTACCATCATTACCCTACATAAGTAGTCCTGTCTATGGGAGCAGTCCTATTGAGTGCAGTGGTTGAGAGCAAGGGTTTCAAGATTGGGCCTCATGTGCGTAAGAAATAATTGCCACTGAAACTTTATTATTTATCAATCCATCCATCAAGATTAAACTTATTTATTAAAAATCAGTTTTCATATAAAAATATCTGGTGTGGCAGTCACCTAGTTGGATATTTACACATTCTTTATACAGTTGACCTCCAATTATGAGAGATTGTTTAAAATATATTGTAATCACAAAATTATATATCAGCTATAAATACTGACATACACACACACACACACACACACACGCACATTAATTTAGTAATAAGCTCACCATGTAACCTGGAATTCCTGGCTCTCCTTCAGGTCCCATTACTCCTAAATGTCCCTGTTAAACAGAATAATCAGCGATAAAGAAACTAATTGCTTGGCACTTGAGTAATGGTTTCATCTTTGTCCAGAGGTTGTGTATGCAGGCATGAATACCATTACTGAGCATTAGAGGGAATACAAGAAATCTGTACAAAACCAGGGTTGTCAACTTTCTAATTGCAGAAAACCGAACATCCTTGCTCCGCCCCTTGCCCCTTCCCTTCCCTGAGGCCCCACCCCCTGATCACTCCATCCTCCCTCCCTCTGGTGCTCACTCTCCCCAACCCTCACTCACTCGCTCATTTTCACAGGACTGGGGTAGGGGCTTGGGGTGCGGCAGAAGGCTCTGGGCTGGGGCTGAGGGGTTTGGAGTGCGTGGGGGACTCTGGGCTGAGGCAAGGGGTTGGGGTATAGGAGGGTGTATGGGCTCTTGGGTGGGGCAAAAAATGAGGGGTTCAGGGTGCAGGAAGGGGCTCTGGGCTGAGGCACAGGGTTGCGGTGTGGGAGGGGTGCGGGCTCTGGGCTGGGGCCAGGGGTGAGGGGTTTGGGGTGCAGGAGGGGGCTCTGGGCTGGGAACGAGGGATTGTAGTGCAGGAGGGGATTCCAAGCTGGAGCAGGGGGTTGGGATGCGGGAGGGGGTGCAGGTTCCAGGAGGCAGTTTGGGTGTGGGAGGGAGCTCAGGGCTGGGGCAGGGATTTGGAGTGCGGGCTCCAGGTGGCGCTTACCTCAGATGGCTCCCTGGAAGCAGCAGCATGTCCCCCACTCCAGCTCTGCATGCTGCCCATCTGCAGGTGCCGCTCCCGTAGCTCCCATTGACCATGGTTCTTGGCCAATGGGAGCTGCAGAGCTAGCACTTGGGTTGGGGGCAGTGCCCCCTTTGCTTGCGCCTCTGCCTAGGGGCCACAGGGACATGTTGCTGCTTCTAGGGAGCTGCGCAGGGCCAGGGCACTCAGAGAGCCTGCCTTAGCCCTGCTGTGCCGCCAACTGGATTTTTAACGGCCCAGTTAGCAGTGCTGACCGGAGCTGCCAGGATCACTTTTCGATAGGGTGTTCTGGTTGAAAACAAGACACCTGGCAGCCCTTGTACAAATAGTGCCTTATCCAAAGCCCATTGAAGATGATGGAAAGACACCTATATCAGAATAGGGGGTGAATTTAAAAATATGACTTTAATCACAGACACAAGGGCGCTTGTATCAGAAAATCCCACTTACAAGGAACAGACTTTGTTTTTGGAGTATCTGAGAATAAACTGTGTTCAAAGCTAAAAACCATTCCCCCACTGATAGTATTGTTTGTTTACATCTCACATTATCTTTGGTCTAAAAATGTTTTAAGGTGCTCAGTTACAAACATCCTTCTTTATTATATTCAGCAGATGATTCCTGAACTGCTTAGTCTAGGCCAGGATTCAGGGTAACCCTGTGTGATGACAATAGACAGTGTTGATTGTATTAGCTATTCTAGGAACAACACAGACAGAGAGAAATGCAGAGTCTATCTGTGTCCAGCAGCCTCAATAAAAATTACCATTTAAATTCACGACAAGCAAGACATGTCTCTTCCCTTCTATGAGACTCCATGCCCCTAAACTGTAAATACATGACTCCATAAAAAATATATTGTACTGACCAATAGACCTCTAGTTCCTCTTGCGCCGTTAGGACCAAATTCTCCAGGTTGGCCAGCTTCACCTGTGGCTCCAATCTCTCCTGGGGGTCCTAGCTGCCCCTTTCCCCCCTGTTGGTGTTATTTTATGGAAAGAATTAAGACATTTACATTAAAATTAAATATCAGTTTATACCTCAGCAAAAGAATATCATTCAGTAAGGGTATTATTTTTAAACACACAATTTGCTTTTAACTGTAGTTTTAAAATCTGAGACTCTAGGACATGCAATGAGGAGTATTTCATTAACAAGCATGATGGTTTGTTAGTAATTTATTTCTATATTAGCTAAACTTAATGTTTTATGCTACACTAGTGATGGGCTCAACCTGCAAAATCCAGAGCCACATTTTGATGCAAACTTCCCTTGAGGAACTTGGATCTGATGTTCTATTTTGGGACCTTTCCTACCTACCTACCTACAACAGATCCCATTGCTGTGCTAGTGATAGAAAATTATTTGCCCAACCGCAGGGCAAAGTATGAGATGAAGTACATGGGGACTTGATTCCTCTTATGCCTGGGGTTTCCTGGCTCATCACATGAGCCTAATGATACAAGTGGCACAAAAATTTCTGGTATCTTCTGCGGCTCTGGATCCTTCAACACCAAGTGATTAAGAGGAATTATTTTGTAATAGAAATTCAAGGCTCACATAGAAAGGAAAGTAGGAAAGCTGAAAACAACATTACCTTTCTTCCTGGACGACCTGTTTGACCTGGATTTCCTGGTGTTCCTTCAGATCCCTGTGGAGGGAGGGAGAAACAGATACTGAGAAGGCTCTGAGAACATGTTTAAATTGCACTCCAGATTGGATAATCTCTGCAAGGCCTTTGAAAATTAGAGATGTAGGTGGAAAAATCTTATTAACCTTGGCCTTAAGTTAGCATGAGTGTTAGAATGAAGTAAGCATCAGAGCACGTTTATCAAACAAGTGAAAAGGCACCAAAACCAGCCAAACAGAATATATTCATGGAGGAATAAAAGTCATTTTGTCTTCAAGCCAAACACTGCATCTAGTGAAATATGATATGCAGACAGTGGAAAACTGACTGTATATCCCAAGGTTCCTTCTGTAGAGGGAGCCCTAGTGAGAGCAGTAAGGCCCATGCAGGGCTCACCGCAGGTCTGAGGCCTACACCAGTAAGCAGCAAGCAACATGGTCCACAGTTCATTGCTGCCAACCACCCAGTAATCCAGGTGCAGGGCCCACCGAGCAGGAGATGAATATCAGGTCCATGTGGTCCCTGCTATTCAAGTTACATCACAATATGAGTAAACCGGGGAGGGGGTATGCCAGGCTGTTACTGGGAGTCTTATGATTCCAAATGAGCCAGAGTGCTCAACAATTGATGCTGACTTTCAGGGGGGAGAGAAGAAGTGTAGGGTTTCTTTTTCTGGAGGGGAGAAAGATATTTTGGTGAATTCAGGATCAATGCAGGTTAAACCCATCTCCTACTTTATAATCCTCCTCTTTGATTAGATATGGCCCCAAAGCAAAACTATTGGTTAAAACATCACTGAATTTTGAGGAAATTCATTTCCTGGTCTAGAGCTGAACTTTGGAGCTTGTCCATATGCCCATAATGAGGCCAAACCAAAACGCAAGGTCCAAACACTCTCAACCTTTGAGACCTTTAAGGAAGAAGGAAAGTAGTTTACTATAATGGCCTTTGAAACATGTGAAGGAGCAGAAGCCTGAAAAAGCTTCAGTTAACAAACAGCTAACCACCTGATTAATCTTGTTTTTGATGCACAATAAGACTTTGATGATGAGATTTGCTGTATAAAATTGTAATTTTATAAAATGAAGATGTCCTGAAGCTGGGTAGTTTATTGACCATTTCAGTATATCAAGACGGGAAAACAGAAAGCATTCAAAGTGTTCTGAGTTCTTCTGATATTTGTAGCAAGGAGAAGAAAATATCCAGCATGGCACTGCTGATCTCCAGATTTATGCAAAGTTAGTAGGGCTGAAAATCAACAAAGAGGAAACTAAAACCATGAGAATCAACATCAGGGACCATAGATCTTGAACTCTGGTCCACAGGGCTCTGTGGAGCTAGCAGGTTCCAACCTGCCACCCAGGGACCACCTAACTGTTTTCAGAATAGGAGCTGAACTCAGACAGAGAACTCAGTCCCCGGACCTGATTGGCAGAACGCTGGGGACCTTGATTGGTCCACAGCCCCTACTTAAACCCAGCACAGGAACAAGATGTGTCCGTGCATCTGGTATCCACCTTGATCTGGACTGTGTGCCTTGTGCTTCCCGTTCCTGCAGTCTGACTCTGGTTATCAATCTGTGGTTCTGCTCTCAAGTTTGTCTCCAGCTTCTGGTCTCCTGGTACCCTGACTACCTGCTTCCTGACATTCAATTCTCAGTTTTCCCTCTGGGCGGTCTTGGATTCTGACCTCCGGGTGGCTGACCCGGCCTGACTCCTGCTTTGACTACTAGGTCAGACCATCCATGTCCCGGTTATGACAATCAGCTTTAATTCCCTCTGGGGACTCTACCTGTGGTACTGCCTCACTGCATGCCTCCAACATCCCTGATCAAGCCAAGGGCTCAATTTAGCCCCAAACTTTTTATTTTTGAAAAATATAAGAAGCTTGTTCAATTAGTGATTTCAGTGTTTCCCCTAATGCATTACATAAAATCTTAAAGCATTTGACTCTCTGGGATTGCATATCTCAGATCGTGGGGTAAAAAATATAATATGCTCCTTTCTCAGTTTGTGAGACTGTTTCTTTAAGGAGCCAAGAATAAGCAGTATATTGCAGAGGTCCACCAGAAGAGTTTAAAGTTGAAGACAGTTGGAATGCCTGAGCTTCCAAAGAAGAGAAGAGTTCTCAAGAAAATGCAAATAGAGACAGGTGAACCCAGCTACCCAAATTCAGCAAAGGAATGTTATAAGTACTTATGCTTCTAAGTAATTGATTTTACAATGTCCAGTATTCAATCCAGATTTGAATAGAAACGCTAAAAAATTATCCAGAATCTTGAAACTCTCAGAACTATCTCAACTGCAGGTTCAAGACATGTCTCAGGCGTATGATTCCAATTTCAACCACGACCAACTGATTACTCATTTTCAACTGTTGGAAGCTAACTGTCAGTTTACAGAAAGATCAGTGAAGTCAGTTCAGAGATACCTCACTATTCTAAACCAAATGAAATTTCCTCTGTTTTCAAAGTGATGACATTGATAAATGATTTTGGTGACATCAGTAACTAATGATGTATACGAGCGAGTCCCAGAATAAGCTGTAGCTTTCATTTGATCAGATGGACTCAAGATAAGTGTTATTTGTGTTCTCCCCCTTTGAGGGAAGGGGAACATAACAGCAGGCAGAGGGAGAGGATGGCTGAGGCCTTCTCTCTAATCTATGTGAATAAGAATATTAAAGTCCCTTGTCCATGCACACGGTCTGTGTCTAGACTCTAAAAAAGGTACTTTTTGTAGAGTTACTTTGAAATTGCCTCCCTTCCCTCCGTTAAGCAGAATCTGGGGAAAGAAAATTAACAGAAATTCGGCTCAGGGGAGCTCATTCTAATGAGTTTTCCACTTCTAGGACAGTTGTTCAGCACAGTCTAAAAGTTCTTTTAATCTGACAGCTGTTCCGTGGTTTCTCTAGAATAAGTTATTGCTTTCACTCTGGTTTCTAGTGAATACAGGTGCCCACGTGATGATTGGAACCAAGTGACACTATTGATATTCTCAGCAGAAAAGCTAAGTGTTGATTGGGGATGGTGGCTGAGCTGACCTGTCATTCCTACAGGTGGTCTTTCAAAGAGAGGGTTGAGGCACATAGCTGAGGCAGAATAGGGGACACTTGCTGGTGTCTGTGGAGCAACTGTTTTGTACATTGAGAGAGCACCTTTCCCCCTACAAGCTGTCACTCTTTACAAGTGCTAAATTCTTTTGCAGAACTTTTTAAAGAAAAGTTTTAAGCCTTATGATTCATTGTTATAAAAGGACTTGTAGCTAAAACCTGGTTACACTTTAAAGCCTGAAGCCTTGGCATTTATAAAGGTTGCAGATTGTTTTTATTTATTCAGCACTAGGTGCTTTATAGACCAAAAAATGGCAACTTTCTACCTCAAGAAACTTACAGTCTAGACAATAAAACATTACACAATCAAAGGATGACAATAAGGACCCAGGTAGGGGGAGGAGGAGGACAATGTGTATAGCATGAAAGGTCATGACATAACATTTACTGCTATGTATGTAACTTGTCAGGAGGGGTCTGAAGTAGGAGACTTTAAATTATATGTTGCACAGGATCTGGGTGATTGTTCCAGGCATAAGGGAGTGATAGTGAGGAGTGAAAAATCTGCCAAAAGGTTCCACATTTAAAAAATGACCAACATGTTTCTCTTCTTATCCATGCATCAAGCCATGAAAAGTTATATGGAGGTGGTGAGCTCATTCAAAGGAGATATTTCTTTTTGCAAGAAGTAACACCCATCTTGGTTGAAATTATACTTACTGGAATACCCATTATGCCAGGTTCACCAGTGGGGCCTGTAATTCCTGGAATTCCGGTCTCTCCTTTTTCACCATCCTCTCCTGGAAGCCCTTGGTCTCCAGGGATCCCCTAAAATACAGCAGAAGAATAAATCAAGCCTAAAAAGAATTAAACTGTTATATTGAACGATGTTACACAAGAATTCTCTGCTTATTTTTGGCCCTGATCTAAAGCAAATGGGATCTTTCCACTGACTTCCAAAAGGTTTTTGGATCAGGCCCCCAGTTACGGTGAAATGCTTTTTATCCAGTTCAAATTGCCCTCATAATGCCAGATTTTTGCCTGAGCCCTATGCAACTGCACAATTCTTTGGAGGCCTCACAAAATCTTCCTTCCTTTGTGTCCATTGCACAGAATAGTTTCGGTCTTTGTACTCATTTGAAAGCAAGGACTGTGAGTGGCTTAGCACTTGGTCACTTTTGGTTGGCTATGTAAAGAATGACATGTTGCACCTTCTTAAGGGTCACAGTCATTGTGCTCCCCCAGGCACTGGGGTTGTGGCAGGAAGCATTGTGCCTCCCTGAGTGCCCTTTCCCAGATTTCTTACTGGGATGGTCCACAGGATCCATAAATAGTAAGGCAATAGCTTTATTGCAATATACAACCCTTAGTTATTTTACATTAAGTGCATCATCAGGCTTCTGAAATACAGACAAGAAAAACTGGACTTAGGTTCTTAATTAGGTAAGTAAAACCAGGAATATTTCACATCTATTATGAAAAATGAAGACTACCTTTGAGCCATCTTTCCCTTGAACACCATCTTCTCCTGGGGATCCTGGTTCACCCTAATTTTGAGAAGAAATGAAACAAAGTTACTACCACTTCCAAATCTCTGAAGGAGCTCTCTTTATTGGGTCAGAGTTGCCTGGGAAGAATTTGTACTGTTTAGCATTACATGCATTTTCGAACTGAAATCAACAGATTTTTTTGAGACAAATTTTTTGTTGCTGGGATTCTTTATTTTTTTGTCTTCATTAGAATGTAAGAATGGCCATACTGGGTCAGACCAATGGTCCATCTAGCCCAGTATCCTGTGTTCTGACAGTGGCAGGTACCAGATGCTTCAGAAGGAATGAACAGAGCAGGGCAATAACTAAGTGATCCATCCTATCATCCAGTCCCAGCTTCTTGCAATCAGAAGTTTAGGGACATCTGAAGTATGGGATTACGTCCCTGACCTTCTTGGCTAATAGCCATTGATGGAGTTATGCTCCACAAAATTATCTAATTCTTTTTTGAACCCAGTTATACTTTTGGCCTTCCCAACATGCCCTGGCAAGTAGTTCCACAGGTTGACTGCGTGTTGTGTGAAGAACTTCCTTTATGTCTGTTTTAAACCCACTGCCTATTAAGTTAATTGCTTGATCCCTAGTTTGTGTGTTATGTGAAGGGGTGAATAACACTTTCTCATTCACTTTCTCCTCACCCGGCATGATTTTACAGACTATCATAGTCATCTTCTTTTTAAGTTGCTCAGTCCCAGTCCTTTTTCTCTATCTCTGTGTATGGAAGCTGTTATTATGTCTAATAACTTTTGTTACCCTTCTCTGTGCTTTCTCACATTCTAAGATCTTTTCTGAGGTGGGGCAACCAGAACTGCATGCAGTATTCCAGGTGTAGGCGTGCCATGGATTTATATAGTGGGTTTATAATATTTTCTGTCTTCTATCTATCCCTTTCCTAATAGTTCCTAATATTGTGCTTTTTTGACTGCCACTTCCCATTGAGTGGATGTTTTCAGAGAACTAGCCACAGTGACTCCAAGATCTCTTTCTCGAGAGGTAACAACTAATGCAGTTGTTCATTACCTTAGGGAATAAAACTCAGAAGTCTGTACATCTGAAATGCAGTAAGGCATAGGTCAGGACTCCTACAGTTACAACACTGTGAAATTTCAGATTTAAATATCTGAAATCATGAAATTTACAATTTTTAAAATCTTATGATCATGATATTGATCAAAATGGACCATGAATTTGTAGGTCCCCATTACTAGCTCAGTTATATATATCGCTCAAGATCAACACTGTCCATGAAAAAATCATCACTTACCAACAGTTACAATACCAGGGTATTTTAGGTTCTGCAATATTTGTCTTTATTAGGGTCTGATCCTGAGAGAGACTGAGCACTCATAACTTTGCCTTCACAGCAAATTGCAGGTGTACTGCACCGTAGGAAATAACTTTGTGGTATCTGAAATACAGTGGTGTGATAAGTGTTGACTTTTTAATGCTGAGTTTACTTTTCTCCAAGGATCAGCAGAATCTTGGAACCTACTTCACTTGGGATTTTCTAGTCTAAAGGAAGAAAACGGGGTGTTGATGAATTGATGGAATGTACAATTACATTCTAAAGTTTAAGTTAGAAAGGGTCTTGCTTATATTCTTGTCAAAATCTTTCTAGAGAAAATCTGTCACAAACTATATCACAGCTTCACCACGTTTTTTGAAAAGTCCCAGGGATCAACCAAACAGAGAAAGAGGACCAAGGCTGGGGAAGAACAGGATTAACAGACACAAAGACCTAACCTAATCTAAGTGAAAATTTATTGGACATGCAGAGAAAAATCTCTAGTCACTGGAAACTAACTCGAAATGGAAAGAAAAGGCTAGGCAAAGTGGTTCTACACTCAAAAGTCAAAAAAGAAAGGCAAAAAATGCAATAACTCCGTAACAGGTAAAAAATAAAACACTTTGTACAAGTTAGAAAATTGAAAAACATTAAAAATAACTAAATAGCTCTCACAATTGATACATTCTTAAAACTGCTCCCTCTCCCATATCAGACCCACCTCATGCGCTGATACTTGGACAGTCCAAAGTTTAAGACTACATTAGGCATTGTTGTTTTTCCTTATCAACAAAAGGATTTTTCTTTGGACTGATATTGTGTGTTTCACTGCATGCCTCTGTGTGTATGTATGCTATGTATCTATCTAGAAGTAGTAATAATACTTAGCATTCATTGAATATATTAAGCAGAAGTGCTTAATGACTTCTTTGTTACAGTTTTCACTGAGAAGGTTGGTGGTGATTGGACATACTGACATAGTGAATGCCAGTGAAAATGAGTTTGGATCAGAAGAGGCTAAAATAAGGAAAGAACAATTTAAAAATTACTTAGACAAATTAGATGTCTTCAAGTCACCAGGGCCTCATGAAATGCATCCTAGAATACTCAAGATGCTGACTGAGGAGATATCTGAGCAATTAGCAATTATCTTTGAAAAGTCATGGAAGACTCGAGAGATTCCAGAAGACTGGAAAAGGGCAAATATAGTGCCAATCTATAAAAAGGGAAATAAGGACAACATGGGGAATTACAGACCAGTCAGCTTAACTTCTGTACCTGGAAAGATAATGGAGCAAATAATGAAGCAATCAATTTGCAAACATCTAGAAGATAATAAGGTGATAAGTGACAGTTAGCATGGATTTGTCAAGAACAAATCGTTTCAAACCAACCTGATAACTTTCTTTGACAGGGTAACAAGCCTTGTGGATAGGAGGGAAGCCGAAGACGTGGTATATCTTGACTTTAATAAAGCTTTTGATACTGTCTCGCATGACCTTCTCATAAACAAACTAGGGAAATACCACTTAGATGGAGCTACTGTAAGATGGATGCAAAACTGGTTGGAAAACCATTCCCAGAGAGTAGTTAGCAGTGGTTCACAGTCATGCTGGAAGGGCATAACGAGTGGGGTCCCACAGGGATCAGTTCTGGGTCCGGTTCTGTTCAATATCCTCATCAACGATTTAGATAATGGCATAGTGAGTACACTTATAGTTTGCGGCTGATACCAAGCTGCGAGGGGTTGCAAGTGCTTTGGAGGATAGGATTAAAATTCAAAATGATCTGGACAAACTGGAGAAATGGTCTGAAGTAAATAGGATGAAATTCAGTAAGGACAAATGCAAAGTACTCCACTTAGGAAGGAACAATCAGTTGCACACATACAAAATGGGAAATGACTACCTAGGAAGGAGTACTGTACTATGGAAAGGGATCTGTGGGTCATAGTGGACCACAAGCTAAATATGAGTCAACAGCGTAATGCTGTTGCAAAAAAAGCGAACATCCTTCTGGGATGTCTTAGCAGGAGTGTTGCAAGCAAGACATGAGAAGTCATTCTTCCACTCTGTTCCATGCTGATTCGGCCTCAACTGGAGTATTGTGTCCAGTTCTGGGAATCACGTTTCAGGAAGGATGTGGACAAACTGGAGAGAATCCAGAGAAGAGCGACATAAACAATTAAAGGTCTAGAAAACATGATCTATGAGGGAACACTGAAAAAAATGGGTTTGTTTAGTCTGGGAAAGAGAACACTGAGGGGGGACATGATAACAGTTTTCAAGTACGTAAAAGGTTATTACTAGGAGGAGGGAGAAAAACTGTTTTTCTTAACCTCTGAGGATAGGACAAGAAGCAATAGGCTTAAATTGCAGCAAGGGAGGTTTAGGTTGGACATTAGGAAAAACTTCCTACTGTCAGGGTGGTTAAGCACTGGAACAAATTGCCTAGGGAGGCTGTGGAATCTCCATCATTGGGGATTTTTAAGAGCAGGTTTGGAGAACACCTGTCAGGGATGGTCTAGATAATACTTAGTCCTGCCATGAGTGCAGGGGACTGGACTAGATGACCTCTCAAGGTCTCTTCTAGTCCTATGATTCTATGATTATCATCTTCAAAGAATTTTTACAAACATTCAACGCCCCTCAAAAGTTGGTAAGCTGATGGGGAATCTGAGGCAAAGAGAGGTTAAGTGACTTGGAAAGTGTGTCAATATCAGAGCTAGGCTTAGAACTCAGGAGTTCTTGACTCCCAGTCCTGTGCTTAGACCACCTCACTCTCAGGGACACCAGATACTTCATGAATATATTTTTAAAAATCCAGTCTTTACTCATTTTAATTAAAATGCTTTGAGAAAATCATGTTCTTAACCTTATTGTCATTTCCACAAATTAAACCCACTCTCAGATATTTTAGTATGATAATTTATGCTCTTTTTAATTAACCTGTTACAGTGTTGCCAGTATTATTTTTAAATGGATCAAAGACACATTTTATTCAATTTCTCTCACATATAGAGGTCATTCAACTTGACATTTCTGAAATTCAAAACATTCTCCTTTTTGGAAACAGAATCATATTTTTCACCCACCCTTAAACCTTGTTCTCCTGTTTCTCCAGCATTGCCAGCAGGTCCGATGTCTCCCTGGAATATGCGATATGAAAATTAAACTATTAAACTGCTGGGAACAAATTGTCTCTAATGAGGATGAGGATTACTGATGATGATGGGTATTCTTTGACATTTTCTTTCTTATTGCTTAATTGCCCAATAAGCTAAATCAACAACAGAGAGTTGATTTGCTTTTACTTAATTCAGCGAAGAATGCAACATGGAAGAAAACAATCCCACCATCTACCTTTGCACCCGGTTCTCCTTGCAGGCCAGGCTCTCCCTCAGGGCCAGGAGGTCCCTATATGGTACAGAAGCTACTGTTACACATTGTCACCAAGAATGGTTTTACAACGATCAAATAAAACAGTAAAGATCCAAACACAAAAACGATGTGATGCACTAGGACAGTTACATGACTGAAAAACAAAAGGAAGTTGTGTTCTTTGGCCTAGCCTGAGACATGCGGTGTCAAGGGAGAATGCAGTATGGTAGAGGTTCAGGAATACACCACAGACTCAACAGAATCGTTAATCCCATATCCTTCATAATGAAACACATGTAGTATAAGCACAACTCTACATTTTGCAACCTTGTTCCCAGATACCGACTTACAATTCCAGCAGTTTTTACACCACGAGCCAAATGCATGTTTAGGAGGATCTATGGGTAGGTCCACAACCTACAGAGTTATTGGCACCAGATTGTTTCTTTCAGAGTTTAAATTTTAATAGTAATAAAAATAATAATACAAAACAGATCAGAAGGGCATGGTTATGGGTGTTTGACAAAGAACATTTTTTTTTGAATGAGCCAAATGTAATTAGTTGTGAATGAGCTCACTCCTCAGCTACTTCATTGCAAATGTGGCTAATAGCTCCTCTCATGTTTCTTTCAAAGAGATATTAAAAAACCCAAAACCAAACTCCCAAAACAGGACCACAAGCAAAGTAGAGAACTGCATGCCATTGCTTTTTCATGCACCACTAGGAAGTGATATAACGACTTGAAGAGTCGATATCAGTGGTTTGCTGTGAAACTGGGAGGCTGTATCTTGTGGAGTCTCGCAGTGGCCTGTTGTGGGTGCGCTACTATTCACTAATTTTTAATGCATGACTTAGAGAATGGAGTGGAGAGTATACTGATAAAACTTGTGAGGACACCCAGCTGAGAGGGATTACAAGCACTTTGGAGGGTAGAATTAGAATTCAAAATGACCTTGATAAATTGGAAAGTTGGTCTGAAATCTAAAAGAGGAAATTCAATAAAGACAAGTGCAAAGTACTACACTTAGAAAAGAAAAATAAAATGCACAAATACAAAATAGGGAATAACTGGCTAGGCAACAGTACTGGATCACAAATTGATTATGAGCCAATAATGTGACACAGTTGCAAAAAAGTCAATATCTTTCTGGGGTGCATTAACAGGAGTATGATATGTAAGACACAGGAAGTAACAGTTCCACTGTACTCAGCACTGGTAAGGCCTCAGTTGGAGTGTTGTGCTCAGTTTTGGGCACCATATTTTATGATATGGACAATTTGAGAGAGGCTAGAGGAGAGCAACACAAATAATAAAAGGTTTAGAAAACCTGTTCTATGAGGGAAAGTTAAAAAAACTTGGCATATTTAGAATTGAGAAAAGATGACTAAGGGGGCCTTGATAACGGTCTTCAAATATATTAAGGGCTGTTATGATGAGGATGATGATCAACTGTTCTCCATGTCCACAGAAGGTTGGACAAGAAGTAATGGGCTTAATCTGCAGAGAGAGAGATTTAGCTTAGATATTCTGAAAAGCTTTCTAACTATAAGGATAGTTAAGCACTTGGAACAGGTTACGAAGGGAGGATGTGGCATCCCTGTTATTGGAGGTTTTAAAGAACAGGTTAGACAAACATCTGTCAGTGATGGTCTATGTGTACCTGGTCCTGCCTCAGCGGGGGGGGATGGACTAGATGTCCATGGAGTCCCTTACAGCTCTTAAAATTCTAGTTGAAAACCCCCAGCCCTGGATAGGTGAAAACTGATTAATTGCAAAGGGAATGGTGTTGCTTCTGGGAAAGTGCTGCATTCAACAATGTACCATTGTCCTTCCAGATGAAGATACCCTGAGATTAGGTTTGCAAAAGCCACTGGCATCATTACATCCTTTTTTTGTTTCAAATTATTGTTTGCAACAGCCATAAGCAATGGAGAATCTCTTAATTACACATGATATTCAAGTTCACTGTAGGTAACAGAAATATAGTTTTTGAATACATTAATAAGGTACATTCTGTGGCTTAAGTTTCTGTTGAAATTTATTATAAATAAATAAAGACAAAGCATAAAAAACTCACCTCAAAACCCATTTCTCCTATAGGGCCAGCATCACCTTTTTGTCCTCTTGGGCCCTAGCATTAAACAAAATCTTCTGTATGTATAATTCAGTTATATTTAGGAAATACATAATATTAACCATATAATATAATAGACTATTTAAATGTATCATGTTTAACTGCCAGCTGGCATAATCAAGTATATCTTATTTTGCTTCATCACTGTGTTTCCTTCCAAATTCTGTGACTGATGTTAGTCCCTGTAAGAGCACATTGTTAACAGCAGTGAAGACTTCATTGCCTCTCTTGACATAGTCTAAAAGTAGATTTCAGAAGGATAGCACTGGTCTCTCTTCTCTTGAACCAGAAGAGAATTCTAATCTAAACTATATTCTTCTCTTGATTAATGGAGACTTTGTTTAATTAAGACTTATTTCATTCTTTGTCTGGTTTGTTTTGCAGAAAAGCCTACAGTCTGGTATGGAATTAACTGAAAACAACTCCTGTATGTTTCATTTTATGGATTTAACAATGTTTACACAGGACAGTCACTGAGGTGTAAGGGACTGCAGACTGGAGCCTTTCTGGCAGTTTCAGTAAGTAACTATACTATGAAGCAGTGTTCTTGGAAGCCAATATATTATAAGTAAAGACACTGTAACATCTAAGGGAAATGCATTTCTAAAGCAGTGTGCGTGAACTAAGCGTACAACTCCAGTTATCCATACCGTGTAACAGTGAGATTTGTGTGCCTAACTTTCAATTAGAGTTAGCTTCTAGACATCTAAGAACTCCACCCCTTGGCCCAAACTCTATAATAGGACAAACCAAAACCCCGGATGTAGTCATCCCTGATCTCTGGGGACATTCAGAATCAGATCCAGACCTGAACACTGTGGTCTGGACCCATCTATATTTTAAAGAAACCCCTTCAATGCTAAAGTAAACAAGATTTTTGGTGCTACATCTGTATGTGCAATATAAGCCTTCCAAGCAGCTAATTTCTCTGTACACCTTCTCAGGACATGGATTGCGCATGTGGTCTTGCTGTTCCTGTTGACTTGCTTGTATTAATAAAAGCAGCCTTTTCCTCTTTTCTGGCACTGGAGCTAATCAGATATTGCTGGGAAGATTTCAACAGCGGTATCCTTAAATTACTCGGCAATGTCATTTAAGTACAATCAACAACTAAGAACTGCAATGAATACATTATTAGGGATCTATCCAGGCTGAACCAGGATTGCCTTGGTTTTGGCTTGCAGCACCTCCGTAGTCTTCCTCAGCTTTACTGTTATAAATCTTAAGTCTGATTTAGGAGCCAAACATCTCCCCATATTCCCACGCAGCTCAGACTGCTGGCTTGGCAATATACCACTCCCGTGGAACACCAGAAGCCAAACAAATCCAGGAACATTTTGAATAATGCTGAGACTGCTTTCAATTCTAATCAAAAGACAGTTTGTAACCAATTACTGTACTAACAGATGTCTGACACTTAGGTGAAATGAATCCTTTACTTTACATTAAACAAACTAAATTAAATTGCTAAACAAACTTAACAATTTAAGGATTTTTCTCTAAAAATATTTCCTTACTTTTTGCAGAGAAGCCAGTGACAGGGCCTCTGAAGCTACCTTACATGCAGCAACTCACTGACTGAGGAAGAAGGCAGACTGCTTGGATAAATCCTCAGAAAAAAACATTTTATTTTGCAATATCCTGTGTCATTTACTTAGCCCTCTTTGAAACTATACACAACATTTTCCAACCAAATCCACTTAAATCTCTGACATAACTATGCAAATAGTCAACTCCTGGACACAATTGAGACTTTTCTTAATTGCTGCATTTCACTCATAAATGCTACAATGATCAGCAGAGTAGAAATGTAGATTGATTAGAGTACAGCAGATGGCTTTAGATTACATAAGTGTGCTTGCTGGCCCATATATAAACATGCAAATCAGGCTCACGCTGGCAGTATAGTGGGAGGATGAACTACGCATACTATGCTTTAGAATTTGTAAGGCTCTCAGATACCACAGATTGGAGCAAAGTATAAATTGCCTAGGCTGGTAGGTGAGTTAGACTAGATTAGATTAGATGAAAGACACACAATGAAGGGGATCCAAACTAATAATAATATACATGAGAATACACAATGTTTTGTGGAGATTTTCTATAAAGTGAAATCTATTTGTTTTTATAAGATAGCTATCTACTTTCAGCAGGAAGTGAGTTAGAATATGTAGATTAAAATGTATCAAAGAAAATTTACTTAAATTATTTATCTTAGGCTGTCAGAATTTTTCCACTGTTTTAGCCAAAATAATTACATTATGACCACCTGCAGGCATCCATGTCATCCTATGGAATTTATAGGCATCTGTTCAGCACTTGAAAGAATATACAGTACTGTAAATCTTAAGATTATATCAACAATGTACTTTTATGCCATTTGTGACAAGAAGTAATTTTTCATAGGCAATAAAAATAAAATATAAAAAGTTATTTGACAAGTTTTTATGTTTTGCAAAATAAAATGGCAGCCTTCTAGCGAGTCCCACCAGAAAAACACACACTACTGCATTATATTTATAAACTTGCGACTTGGCTTTAGAGTTGTTGATGTAACAGCATTCTTGCCGTGTTTATACCTTCCAGCCATTGTACATAGTTACTGCCTCTCTATATGGTTTTTTGTTATAGTATTAGCCACATAAAAGTGTGGGGGGCTTTTTAATAATAAAAATAAGAACAGCAAACCATTCAGGAAAAGAATGCCTGAAGTTTATTAAAACAGACTCTTTTTTGTTAGAGCAGTAACCTGCTAAGTTAATGGGGTTCCAGAATAACTAGCATAAAACTTGGCTGAAAATAACAAGGAAACCATCAATGTCTATGTTTAAAGTTCTATTTACATACTATGTCATATAGTATGTCTGTCTCTAAGTAGTGTGAAGTCACATAATATAATGGACCAGATTCTGCCACTGTTACTCATGTTGAGCTACCCAAAGAAAGGGCTGCAGAATCTGTTCCAAAGTAGTCTTCATGCAGTTTCCAAAAGTAGTGATAGTTCCAAACCTTGATAGAGTGGAAGTTGAGTTATCAGGAAATTAAGTACAATATATAAAAAGCTTTATTAGGAAGTATGGTGATCAACTTACTGGCTCTCCCATAGGGCCTCTGTCACCCGTGTTTCCAGGAGGTCCGGGTAAGCCCTAAGAGAAACAAAACCAATAAGAAAAAGATCTGTTTCAAATTCTGTAAAAAGCCACTTCCTTCCCACTTCTGTACACCCAGCAACTCCCTCAAATAATCCCTCTAGAAACGTGCTTAGCCTTCTCCTTTGTGATCTGTGCTATCACGCCAGCTCTTGTGATTCATGAGTGAGCTGAAGCCTGCTTGTGCTTCATTTATTTAGGGGTGACTGGTTTGCTGATTTGCCATTTCAAACCTTAACAGACTCCTTACTTTTCATGTGACCTAACAGTGTTAAGGGACTCTTTGTCCCTCAGACAGTATATGTGGGATTAATTGGACAAGTCTCAGGCTATACACCATAGCAACACACGCAAGTTCTACTCAACTGTTTGACAGAACCCTATTTGCATCCATGAAGAGGAGAATATAGAAGCATAATGGCAACCTTTAACACTCTGCAATAACTTCACTTGTTCCTACAGACAATATCTCTTCAACCTAATGCTGTTTTGCTTTATTTGTTCCTTTGGTATAAACACCAGAGTCCATGAAGAAATGAAACATTGAGCTCTCTAAATTATTTTTTGTCTGTCACAGATCACTAAGAGAAAATGCCCCTCAGATTCATTAAGGGTCCTTGGGAACAGAAGAGAAAAAAACAGAAGAGATGTTAGAAAGCAAGAGGCAGCATCCACTGTGCTGCAGCAGTAGAAACAAGACACATTCCTGCCCTATTGTTTAGACAGGTTTATTGCCTGCCTGGGGAATAAGACATAGTCTGCTTAGAGTCACTCATGGGACTTCCTTAGCTATTTCTTTGACCCTGTTTGGCAGATGAACCCATCTTTTCATCCAGTGTGGTGGTGCCCAGCAGTTGTAATCTCAGAAGTGGGTATATTGTACATGGGAGTTTTGTGAGGCCACACTCAGTTTCTCAAAATCCACTCTGAGTTTGTAATCGGAGTCATTTATACATATACGAAATAGAGTGAGCTAAACAAAGGCAAGTAGAGTTAAATACTCAGTGTGTTTATTGAGTCTGAAACAGAATTTAGACTTAAGTGCAGCTATGTAAAACAGAACCCTTGGGCCAACCTACCCTGCAGAATCAGCCATAGTTCACAGATTAATACATCAGAAATGGGGGTTTCCTCTGCAGCAGGGGTGCTGGAAGAATTTGTATAATGGGAGTGCTGAGAGCCGTTGAACCAAACTGTGAACCTTTATATGATGGAAACCACTTCAAGTCAGGGGGTGCGAGAGCACCCCCAGTTCCAGCACCTATGCACTGTAGTGGAATTAAAGACTATCACCAAGTAAAAGGGAATATCAAGAGAATACCATCTTGAATTTATATAGCACCTTTCATCCCAATGGATCTTCAAGAACTCCATAAATAAACTGAATTACATCTACTGTGTATATAGAGGTCACCCGGCACTGAAGTGACTTCTGGCTTGAATGACTGCAATATCAGGCAACAGTGTAGAACAGGAAATAATGAATAATTCCATACCTGACTGAAATTGAAGGGGCAATTTCTACTCTGGCAAAAAATGTCATGTGGTCCTTCACAACCATGAGTGGTCAGGACCTCAGTTTTACATCTCACCTGAAAAAGGATGTGGTTTACAACTATGTGAGATTCCAAATTTGTTGAAACCCTAACACTTAAATATTTAAATAGAAAGTTGCTCAGCGACTGAAGAGAGGTCGGGCAAGGTATCTTCCTTGTCATTCTTTTCCTTCTCTTATTGAGGGATGCCATTTCCTCAGTGTGTTTTCTATATGACCTCTCTACTTGTCAGCAACCACTGTGGCTTCATACTCCCTCCAAGTGAATGGTGTGACATGGTACACACAATACTCTGTGGAACAACTGACGGGGGCAGCAAATTTCCAATTCTCTAGACAAACAGGCAAAGCTATGAAGTGGCCCTGATTAAAATGGCAACCAACATTATTAGTCTTAAGTATATAGCATTGCATTGCTAATATGATTGGTATTATTCTCTTGCCTTTGTTTTTCTTACTTCTTTTCGATTAGCTCACCACCCTTGAAAAGTCACGATAGTGTGACTGGTCTGTTAAACATATTACTATAGGAAAAGGTGTGATTTTCATAGAAGTTTGAGCTTTGTTCTCTTATGGAAAAGCTTTTTTATTGGTATACAGTTCAAAGGAAAGGTGTCCTAACATATAGTTCCAGTTATGTTTATATGACATATTTTATCCCTGCAATGATCACATAACTCTACGGTAAAAGGTATAAAAGTAACATTTCTTCTATACCATTGCTGCTTTCTCCTCTAAAAATGGCAATAAAACTACTCTAATGAGCATGGCAACTTCTAGCTGTCTCCCACAATTATGCAATAGTGATTTCTTCTGCTGCAATGTTCTTTTAAATTACATCTCACAGACAGTGTCTCATCTGAAAGATTACATTTCTAATAATAGACAGGATTACTATCAGATATTCCTGGGTTTCATTCCCGTAACTGCCACTGTTTGACCTTGAGCATGTCACTCTACCATCTGTTTACGCATTAGTTTACGCATCTGTAAAACTCAGATATAATGTCACAGAGGAATTCTGATGCTTTGTAAATTGATGTTACTAATATACCTGAAGATCCTCAGATGAAAGGTTCTATACAAAGTAAATGCAAACCATTATTCTCAGAGCTCAATGACTGGTACAAAGAAAATAATTTCGCTTGCATTTGAGTGTGAAGCAAGGTTTTTTGTTTTGTTTTGTTTTTTGTAGCAGTGCTATAAGATTTCAGTACTTACTGGTACTCCTGAATCACCCATTTCTCCAGGGTTTCCAGCCTTGCCCTGGTCAAATAAAATTATTAAAAGAGAATGCTGATGTCAGATAAATTCCAAACCAACGTCAGGCAAAAATTCCTAGTGGAGAAATTAGTGCCTAATGCCCAGAACATTTCTGATACTTACAATAAGTCCATGAACACCCTTTTTCCCTGGATCACCGCTTTCTCCCTGACAAATAACGAATGATGAATGAGTTCAGTATGAATTTACTAGATTTGCCACACAGAACACTACACATGTAGAAAAAGAAAACTACCATGGGCTAAATTGTGCCATCATTTACACCAGTATAAATGTACAGTAACTTCACTTAAATTGATGCATCTACTATGGATTAAGTCCAGCGTGAACGAGACCAGAATTCAGATCTACATGTCTACTATATACATAAAAATAAGAACCTCAATGAAGCAAAAAATTGTGAGTCCCTCACTGAATTAATAGCAAACTCAAAACTATTTCATGGTGCCCTTTACTTTTTTTTCTTTTTTCTTTTCCATCAGTCAACACCGTATAAGCATCCTCTGCAGTACTGAACAAAACAAATAAATAATTACCTTAATACCTTGTGCCCCTTGTTCTCCTGGAGGACCATCTAGACCCCTGGGACCCTGAAAATTAAACAAGTGATTTCTGGTTTTAATTATAAACTACTGACAGTAACTACTATAGAGGTTTATCAGAAAGATACCACATCAGCTGTACAACTGAATGGAAAACTACCCATTCTCTTAGCATGGAGCTCTGAAATTCCACATGACGAAAAGCACTTTTTATTTTGCTAAATGTGAAATAAAGCATCAACTATTATAAAATCAGTTTCCAGCTTGCTGTAATATGAGTCTAAAAAGAAAGCCTTTACTGTTTAATATTTAAACAAGATGTTTAACCTGCTTGAAGGCAAACTCTATTTCTATGCTTCTAATTTGCATATGCATCTTACTCACATTTTGTGCAGACAAACCTGCATTTGCAAGTACAACTGGTTATTTGGATGCTCACATCTGGTCATGTTGTCAGCTGAATGTGAAAAAATTGGTCTGGGACTGAACATCTGGCCTTTCAAATTTAGACAGTACAGTTCTTCTGATGCTAAACCAATATAAAGCCAAATAGAAATGGTGAACTATTTTTCAGCAGGGGCTTCCCTATTTCTAGATTAACTAGTGTCTCTTGAAAATTGAGATTTTGTAGTACCAACATACGAACAAAGGATAACTTACAGTTACACTGTATATTTCATTATAATTCATATCTGTAAAATGGGAATAATTATATTTATCTCCTTTGTAAAGCACTTTGAGATCTACAGATGAAAAGTGCTGCATAAGACCTAGGTACTATTATTATTATATATTAGCAAATGTTTAAATTAAAAATATTCAAAAGTGTTTGTTTAAAATTAGGCATCTGAGTCCGTAAGTAGGCATCTAAATCAAAGCAACCAAAAGTAGATAATGACCAAAAAAGGCAAGGGATATCTCATCCATACTGAGAATGGAGGATGTTTTTATGATTCTAAACATTAGAACCATTTGCATATTGACAATAAATTTAAGAGAACTTAATACAGATATAGAACAAGTAAATCACGACCACCAGATCTTCATCAGCATTTAAGGACTTGATGAATTATTCTCTTCAGATGTGGTCAGAACAGTAATATTTCAGGATGTTGTATTTAATAACATGGATTCAGTTTTCTTAAAAGCAAAATAAGATCTGCAGTATCATACAGCAAAGTGAACTGAGGTGTACAGAAGAAAATGTTCTGTAGTTTCAAGTGCACAGAACATGGCTGAGTAGCACTTCCAGATAGTCTAGAGTTTCCTACATTGTTGGCCACTTGTTCTTCAGATCGCATGCTACATTGTTCCATCTAGACAGTCATGCAGGATTTCTACATAGTCACGAGAGCGATATTATACACAGTATTTTTCTCGTTAGTAATTCAAGGACTCAGATGAAAGCATGTTATGTAAGACTCAAGACTGCGAACAACATACTGCAGCTGCAAGCAATGTCTAAGTGTTGCTCTCGGTCGTCACACTTGTATGTGGTTAGGAGAGAACAGCTGGAAGACCCTCTCCTTGGGTACCTGGGACCACCCTGTTCTCAGAAGAGCACTATGTTTAGCTGGTTTTGCCTGGCTCACTTTCTCTCTAAAACGTGTCTGACTCACACGTGTTCCTCTTGCATCACAGAATTCTGTTTGATCAGACTTGGATTTAATAATGTAAATCAAGGTCTAGATCAGGGGTTCTCAAACTGGGGGTTGGGACCCCTCAGGGGGTAGTGAGGTTATTACATGGGGGGGGGGTCATGAGCTTTCAGCCTCCACCCCAAAGCCCGCTTTGCTTCCAGCATTTATAGTGGTGTTAAATATATAAAATGTGTTTTTAATTTATAAGGGGGGGGGGTCACACTCAGAGGCTTGCTATGTGAAAGGGGTCACCAGTACAAAAGTTTGAGAACCATTGGGCTAGATCCTGACAGGTGCGGTGCACCCAACTCTCTGACACTCGAGAGAGTGACAGGTGATCAGTGACTCTTGGGAACCGAATGTGCTCAGAATCATGCAGGATGGGGCTCCTAAACTGCACATTTTATGAGAAAAGGGATATTCCCGCACTTCTGCTTCTGGCAGGAAAATGAAAATCAATGGGAAAGGTAAGTTGGCTAACGTTTTTGAAACCCCATTAGTTTTTGGCACAGGTTTGGGGAGCAGTTCTTGTATTATTCCAACCATCTCTCCTGCCCAGATCTAATAAACAACTGAGCGTAGAATGATGTGTAATGCACCAAACAAATCACTCAGTAGGTCGTATGTAACTTGAACTCTGATTCTGGGGCCAACCTTGCTTCCGCTGACAAAACTCATTAAATATTGCATGGCTGGGCACAAAACCAGCCTTGGTATGTACTTATTGTGGAAGGTGATTAGCTATCATGGTGATAAAAACCTAGACAGACTGAGAGATAGGGCTGGGGCACCTGTGCATAGCTGATTCGCTCTTAACAAGGCATTTAATATACTCTACAACACAGAGAAAGGTAAAGTCAGACACAGCGAGTTGTACTTGACTCAGAAATGCCAGCTATACATCTCAGAGCTCAACTTAAGCTTGCCTTATCCATCTTTTTCTTGGGTCCTTGACTGAAATCAGGCCTCCCAGGAGTGGCCGTCATTTTGCACACAGCAAGTAGAACAATTACAACAGAAACACCTCTTTGACAGAGAGAACATGCTCACGTCTTCTCCTACCTTCTTTCCAAAGCCACATAGCTCTCAGAAATGAACAACGAAAAGAACCTTTGTCTGGTATATATGGTTTTTCATCAAGTAGGAAAATCTAATCTATAAAATTTTCCTACCTAAAAACACAAATGCACTGGGAATAATGTATGTTTTCTAAACTGTTATAAAGAGCAAAGGAACAGAGAATGTGGAAGTAACTTTCAAGGGAAAATGGGAGTAAAAGGGTGAACAAAAGTACACGTCTCCTTGCCGGAAAAAGGCCTGATCCAAAGCAGACTGAAGACAATGGAGAGGCTCCCACTGACTTTGATAAGATTTGGATCAGACCCAAAGATACTCTGATTTTAAAAGGGAGCTTGACCTACATAAGAGTACATGACTGGACTCCATGTGAACTTATATAACTTTTTAATCCTGATTATTAAATTATTATACAGTATAATTTAGAAGAAAGAAAAACATCTTCATCTAATTAGATTCAGCAAAATGTCTGATTATTGCCACTACTTTATCACTGCCTGAGTTCTAGTCTAACATTCTTTGATTCCTAACAGCCTATACTCCCCACAACAAAATGTTTCATACATTTCCACAGGAGAAGAAAAATAATCCTACCAAAAACTCCTAGGATGCCCATAAGAAGATAATTTATCATTTTAATGAAGGAAATATAAAAACAAAAGCTAAATTAAATCCAACTCTGGGATTCCCAATGCATCCTGTCCTGCCTGTGTCTATTTTTCACATTGTAAGCTCTTCTTCACCTTTGGTTTGCACAGCACCAAGCACACCCTTACAACTATTCAAATAAATGGTACTCATTACAGAGAACTCTCAACTAAAAGTCATGTACATTCCTAAGTGTTATTATAAAACCCACGTATCTACTTACACAACATTCATAATTTTACTCTTCTTCCCAATGTGTAAAGCAGTCTTAGTTCCATATTACCTTGTTCAGAATTGCTTGCTCATGTCATCTAATGCATGCACACTTGCTTGGAATGCATATATAGGGCAGGCTGGGTAGACTTACTGGAAATCCTCATTTGTCTGACTTATCTGATAGTAGTACCAGGTGGTACTCAGACTTTTCTAAGGGAGAGTGGAAGAAGGAGACACATTAGTGATGGAGAATCCCAGACAGGGCAAGTGGACAGGTCAGTAAGCTGGGTTGGAAGAAGAAGGGTTGGAAGTTGAAGGGAGAGTCAAGAATGCATCACACAAGGAAGCAGCCAAATAAGCAAGAGAAGACACTGGAAAGGGGGAAAATCAGAATACTAAGCAGAGCAGTTGCAGAATATAGAGAAACTAAATAGGGAGGGTGTATGATCTGGGGTACGTCATGCACACAATTTTTGCTGGACATAGAGCCACCACTGTTTTAAGTTTAGGTGACTTCAGTTGTCTATTCATTAGGAAGAACTTAACAATTGCTTTGATCCTGACTAATCAAATGTCAGCTAATCAAAATAAAACTTGGGGGCAAGAACTAGAAGCCAAGGACTAGGTTTTGAAACACCGTAATTTAATTATTAAATGAACACAAAATAAAGGAAATGAACATGATGTCCAGTGATACTAGGTATTGTATTAACCTCTTGCCTGCCACAGGGCAAAGAATACGAATCCAAAGGAAGGGCAGTTGTATACTCTCTATCAAAAGCAGAGCATCATTCCTATAAATACTACTGTGTGACTCATTATTGGCACTGTTGAACTCGATCAGATAGAATTAGTATCATTCCCTGCAGTAGCTAGTGCAGAAGGAAATACACACAATTTGGCTGCAGTTATTTAATATAGGCTACATACTGTACAAGTCTACGAACTGCAGAGCTGGGCAAAACAGCTGCCAAGTGATCACTACTGCTTTTTTTCTTTCACATGAGTTCAGCTTTATTTTGAGGAGGGAATATATTATCATGCATGTTTATGATCATTTAATCATAATTAACCAAGGAATATTTGCCTGACAAAACAAATAAACAAACAGCTCTCTCCCCCACCCTGTTTCCTAAACATAGGAAAAAGAATGAACACAGCATACTCTATGTTTTCCCCCCACAAGTTTAATATGCAAGAACAATGGAAAGTTATATCAATTTTAAAACCGTTTGCCTTGAACAATTAAGGATACACACTTACATTCAGCCCTTAGTAACATATCACAGAGTCCATCTGATTTTTGTCCACATGCACACCGATCACACGTTCTCTCCTGCTCTCAGTTCAGTACTATTAAGAATATACTGAACCCATCTCATCAACTCACATAGTTGATATCCTTATTCTTCTGTAATTTAGGTTCATAAGACCAAATTCAGACCTAGCTGGAGTGAGTGCAACTCT